ATAATGGGAATTGTTGCTACCATTCATATATGCACATGATATAACAATATAATTTGGTCAGTATCATTCCCTAGTATTTCCCCTTTCCCTCTTCTCCTCCCTCCCCACTGGTCCCTTTCCTCTACTCTATTGGGCTTCCTTCCATTTTCCTGAGATCCTCACCACCACCTTTCTTTTCCTTGTCTTCCACACATGAAAGAAAACACATTACTCTTGACTTTCTGAGTTTGGCTTATTTCACTTAACATAATGCTTTTGAGTTCTATCTATTTACCTGTAAATGACATAATTTCATTCTTTATGGCTAAGTGAACTCCATTATGTATATATAACACATTTTCTTTATCCATTCATCCACCGATGGACACCTGCCTCTTCTCACATGTGTTTCTTTTCTCTCTTTCCTGAGTCTTTTATCCTATTTGTGATGAAATTAGATCTTAGGCATTTTTGGTGAGTGCATAAATGGAATCTACAAAACTTCTGTAATGGGGCCTTGCCTCTGTCACCCCAGTGATTCAGAAATACACACACATTTAAATGAACTCAAGATATGTTATTGAACATGAACTCTGTACTGGGCCTGGCAATGGAGATGCAGCAGGTATGCAGTTGTTGATGACTACAGAGGGTCTCCCTGGAGTGGGAAGGTATTTGTTGCCATGATGTAATTGGGACTTCTGTGAAAGACTCTTTGAGGAGGCCAAGGAACGTGCCTTCAGCAATTTCTGGGAAAATTAATGCTAGTTGCATAGATGGGGATGAATAGAACAGAGTTCTGGAGGGTGAATGGGAGCTTTCCAGACAAAGGAGAGAAAAACTGTTCAAAGTGGAGAGAACAGCACATTCAAAGGAATGGGTTTCTGCCTGATATTTGGCGAGACATGCTGAGAACTATGAGAAGCCTGTGGTAGTGGGTTCTATATTTAGTCAAGCCTTGATTATACTTAGAATCTGTCCTGCTTGATCTTGATCTGGGTGATTTCCTGCTTTTTTTCATCTTCTAGAACCCATTACATTATTGCCAACAGTCAACTATACAAAGTCCAGGTTTCCCTGAAATGATACAGATCCCTGTTCTGAGGTTGAGCCAATACATTCAGAGTTGCTTTCAACGTCAAAGTCATAAATATATTATAGATGCTATCACAGTTAACACATGCTTCTTTTTGTTGGGCCTTGGTGGAGTGAATTTTACTGGCCAGATTCTGTTGTTATCACTTGCTGTTGAAGACTTTGATCTGGCATCTTGAGGTCTTCATGTTGAGAGACCAAACTGGCTGATACTTTCTTGCTTTGAGGGATGAAATAAAAGACTAGGTGTCTTGCAGGCCTCCCAAAGTCCCTTTGTAGGTAAATAATGGTTATGTAGGAGAGATGTTATCTTGTCAGGCAGGATAACACTAGCATGGATTAGGGCAAATTCTGTTCCATCCTTCTCTGCTGGTGGCTTTGTCATTTGTTGCTATTGTGACCCTTCTTCCCTGGAGTTGGTCTGCATTGCCACAGATAACTTGACTTGTCTTCCTTTTCCTCTTCCTTGGAGCCCAAGAAAATTCTCTCTCTTATCAGTTGTTATGATGCCCCTAGCTCCTCCTCACCTCCTTTGCTCCTCCCCCTGAAGCATAGAGACTCTGCAGATTAGAACATGTTTATTTTCCTCTACCAATTTTGTGCCTATTATCATGCCCATGACATGCTCCATCAAAGTTTAAGGATGTATTTGTTCTCCAGAATGACTTTCCATTTCAAGCATTATTGTCTGGAGTTGTTGCTTGTCTGAAGATTTGGTTTAGTTTCAGGTAGTATCAACTCCCTTTTTTTTCCCATAAATTCTAAGTTTATTATAAAAAATCCTTAACCAGCTATGAACCACTAAAAGCATTCCTTAGATAAAAGTCCTCTTAGCAAATATCATTAGTCTATTTGCCAATAGGTCCCAGTTTTTAGCATGTTTACAAGGAATTTAGAACTAAAGTTTAGCTGTTAGCTTCTTTCCCATCTCCTTAGACAAGGTGAATGTGAACAGAGAAAAACATAAAGGAATGATCATTACAATATAGTTTTTAGCATAAAAATTAGAAATAACCTGAAAATCCATCAACAGGAAAGAATCTTCCAGTCCACTAAAAGGAAATTAATACCTTTCCCTCAAAACACCATGTATTGTCCAAGTTGGTCTTTTCCCTTCATAATCCAATATCCTGTAGTCTCTTTTTTTTTTTGAGGGTAAATTTTTTTTAATTGGTTGTTCAAAACATTACAAAGCTCTTGACATATCATATTTCATGCATTAGATTCAAGTTGGTTATGAACTCCCAATTTTACCCCAAATACAGATTGCAGAATCACATTGGTTACACATCCACATTTTTACATAATGCCCTATCAACTCCCTTTTAACAGAAGGTTCAAGTCTCTGCAATTCTTTTCTATGCTCTGAGCTTTTCCGACCAGGGCTCTGTCCATCATCTTATTTTTCCCATTAGAAATTTTCTTTACCACATATAATAGGAGATTATGACCATCTTGTTTCTGTAGAAATCAGAATGAAATCTCTGCTTTCTAATTTTATTTCTTCCCTTATCTTATTGGTTATGTTATTGGTTGCTACTGACTTATGCAATATGATTCTTCCCTGGGCCCTCATCAATGGGTGTAGTTTTCAACTTGACACAGCTCAGACCTCAAACTTTGAGAGTTTTAAAGTAGCTGAGTTGCACATATGGTCAATAAATCAATCACTGTGGCCACTTTATTGCTTGTAAGTTGATTACCCTACTTTGCCCATAGTGACTTTTCAATTTGATTAAAATGCAGTTTTATCAGGTGGTGGTTGAGTCCTCCAGATACATAAATACATAAAGCAATAGGAGAAGTGTGCAGTCAACTATTTTTATGACCACCTTCAAGTTTTTAACCAGCCATTCCAGCACTTTTGTGGTCCTCGTCTTACAATTCAAATTTCCATACTCTATGCCAAAGTCATTTTTTATTTAGTGCATATTCCAAGCTCTTGTGTCTGTAACAGTGTATTATTTCTTCTGCTAACTGGGGTGATCATCAGTCCTGCTGCAAAGCATTTTCTACATCTCAGATGAGCTCCTATGTGATCTGTAAAGCAGGCTCTGATGGCAGTGGAACAGGGAAGATGTGTTGGTTCATTCCTGATTGTTTTCTGGACCATAGGAGCCCAAATGTGGGAATGAAATTGTTATCTTAGAAAAGGAAGGGGACTTCAACTTTCCTTCTGTCCTAGCAGCAGGAGCCATTTTAACTGTATCTTAAGAAAAATTTAAAACGAGCATCTGCACTGGGGCTCCTTGCCCAGGAGAGTGTGCCCACAGCTCTGCATGGCTCCTGGCAGATTCTCCTGCCTTTCTTATCCATCTCCATATTGGCTCCCCTAGTGCAGAGGGTTGCTGCTATTTGCAGATTGCTTTGGCTCCTACCAGTGAATTAAATTCTCATCAGTATTTTCACTCTGCTGTTACTGTACATTTGGAATGTCAATGATGAAACTACGTGGACTACTACCTCAGAGGCCTCCTTTATCTCTCAGGGAAACCAGTTATCTGTTTGGTTACAATTTGGGGCCTCTTTATCCCTCACCTTTTGTGACCTTCCTTTTGCTTCACTTGAGGTTTTCCATAAATATGTGTAGTCGATCCTCAATTGCAGACTCCTTATTTGCAACTTTGCCTATTTGCGAAAATTTATTTGTAGCCCCTGTGTTAGTCAGTTTTCTGTCACTATAACAAAACACTTGAGATAATCCACTTTAAAGGAGAAAAGATTTATTTTGGTTTACAGTTCTGGAGTTCCAGTCCATAATCAATTGGTCCCCTTGCTTTGGGCCTGTGGTGAGGCAGCACATCATGGAGGGATTGTGTGGTGGAACAAAGCCACTCACTTCTTGCTCACTTCATGGCCAGGACAGGGGGGTTGGAGAAAGGAGCCATACCCCCAGTGTCCTAAGGATCTCCCACGAGGCCCCACCTCTTTTTATTTTATGGTGGTGGGGATTGAACCCAGGGCCTTTTGCATGCGAGTGACCTATATCCCCAGCCTCCCCCCCCCTTTAAAAATATATATTTATTTTAGTTGTAAATGGACCTTTATTTTATTTATATGTGGTGCTGAGACTCGAACCCAGGCCTCACACATGCTAGGCAAATGTTCTACCACTGAGCCACAACCCCAGCCCCAAGGCCCCACCTTTTAAGGATTCTACCAGGTCCCCAAAGCACCACCTTGGGGACCAAACCTTCAACACATAAGCTTTTAGAGGACATTTAAGATCCAAAATATAGCACCCCAAAGTCAATACTTGCATTGCTTTCAAGGTCATTCATAGACAGGCATATGTAGAGTGGCAAAAGGCTTGAGTTGCCAAAAGCACATGCTATCAGTTGAGGTCAGAGAAGATGACCCTTTGCCTTTCTGATTCCACCCTCATACTTTTAGTGTTCTGTTTATTACCACATTTTCCACATTTCTCTGCTTTTTGTTTTTTGGTAATTTTGATGTTTAAAATGGCCCTGAAGTACAATACTGGAGTGCCATCTGGCATTTCTTATTGTGAGAAGATTCTGGTGTGCCTTGTGTAGAAAATATATGTTAGAGAAACTTTTTCAGGCATGAGTGATAGTGCTATTGGTTGTGAGTTCAATGTTAATTAACAATACATATTAAACAGAAACCCACATAAAACAAGGTTATGTATTGATCCAGGGAAGGCAGCTTTGGGGGAGGATGAGGAATGATGTGGAGAGTGCTCAGAGCGGGAAGAGATGTGTAGGAAGTGAGGCTCAGGCAAGAAGAGACTCTCAGGAACCTCTCCCAGAATTCTCCTAGGAGTGTTCATATTCCATGACAGCAGCAATGCCTATCCTGAAATAATATTTTCTTATATGAGAAAGCAGAGCCCATGATTCTTCTTCTGCAGTGTCCAAGTAGAAGTCCTGTTTATGTTTTTAATGGCCAGTTTTCTCTCATAGGTGTAACTTAGCATGGTCCATGCAGGAGCGATGAGTGGCTCTGGAAACCTGATGGATTTCCTTGACGAGCCATTCCCTGATGTGGGGACTTATGAGGACTTCCACACCATTGACTGGCTGAGGGAGAAGTCACGGGACACTGACAGACACAGAAAGGTAGGTGGCATTTGTAAGGGCCATGCCAAAGGGGATCTCTGCAATGGCTGTGCCATGTTTCATATGCAAGTTATGGAACTGGGGCTTAGGTCGCAGGTTAGGTTTGAAAAAAGAAAAAGGCTAATGGGAAAGCCAGAGATTTAAAAAGGGAATTATAATAGCAGGTGCTTTGGGTGGGAAACTATGTCAGACTGAGGGAATGTGGTGTGGAGGCAAGGAGGGGACCCTGGAACCACATAAATTTGGGACACATTCTTCCCTTGCCACCTCTAGGCTGGGTAACTTTGGGGGTGCCATTCCTTGGCTCAGTTTTCTTATTCATGAGAATGGAGGTAATTATACCTAAAGAATAAATGAAATTGTGCGTGTGTGTGAAAACACATTATCATGGTGCTTGGCATCCAGTTGGCTATCAGTATATATTGGAATGGGCCACAATTCATTTATGTATCCAAGGGATCATTTAGGAGGGATGGTTAGGGAAGGGTTTTTCAGAGAGGGTGGCATATCGGTTGGATCCTGAAGGATGGCTAAGAGTCTGCTAGTCAGAGAGAGGGGAGAGGATTCTAAACATCACTAGTGAACTTTTTTTAAAAATAAGTTGCCAAGGCATGAAACAACATGGCCCATTTGGGCAATTGAGGGAGATGCTAGGGTCTGGTGAAGGATTTATGGAAGGGGAGGACTAGGGATGAGTCTGGAAATGTGGGCAATGGGGCCATGTTGGGAATGACCAAGTGGGCCATGGAGAGGGGTTGGTATTTTTTGTCGATGGCCACAGAATACAATAAAGATGCATTACAATAAGAGAAGCAGGACACTCTGAAGTTAGCTCAGGAGAAAGAAGGACTTCTAACTCAAAGCAGTGGAGTGCTAATGGAGGAAAGGAGATCATGGGCAAGAGACATTCTGAGGAGACATGGACAGACTTTACAGGAGGTATTGGGGTCAGGAGCAGAGTGGCATCAATGAACACCTGGCTGTGGCCAGACAGGTGCAGTGGTGCCTTTGATGAAGAGAAGAAGGGAAGGGGAGGGTGAATAGCAGAGGGAGGCCGGAGTTCTGCTTTTTATGCTTTGAGTCTGAGCTGCCTGGCTGGCCTGCAAGTGGGTCGGGGGTTGGGAAATAGAATTCTACAGTTCAAGGATGAGGCTAGGGCTGTGGAAAGAGAATGAAGGCCCTTGGCATGTAAGTGGATGCTGAAGCTTTAGAAATGGTCAAGGTAGCCAAGGTACATAGAGAGTAAAGAGGCAGTTGGGACCCTGGGAATGTCAAGATACAGTAGATGTGGGGGAGATAGGTGGGAGAACCAGAGACAGATGCTTAGAAGAAGTGGGTAGAAGAAAAGGAGGGGAACCAGCCAAGAGTGGTCCCAAGTGAGAGGAGGAGGCTGCTCACAAGGTCCTCTGCACAGAGATGTAAATTAGGTGTGTACCAGCAATATAGGAGCCATCAGTGACCTCAGGGAGAGCAGCTTCAGATGAGGAACAAATGATGTGGTGAGTGCTCAGAGGAGGAAGAGAGATGTGTAGGGAATATGTAACGTAATCTTGTTTAGGCACAAAAATGACGTAGCCTCTGGGTTTCAACATGGAAAAACATGGCAATGGGGCAGCCTTCACCCTAGAGCAAGAGTATCAAACTATGGCTCTCATACCAAAGCCAGCTGGCACCTTGTTTTATAAATAAAGTTTTATTGGAATTCATTTATATATTATCTGTGGCCACTTTTGTGCTACAGTGGCAAAATTGGGTAGATACAACAGATACCCTTTGACCTGCAGAGGCCAAAATATTTACTCTCTGACCCTTTACAGAAAATGTTTGCTGACCACTGATCTGAAGGTTTGTGAGGAGGATGATGATCTCAGAGGAATATAGGATTCTCTTAATACAGGAGGAAAGGGGGTGTTCTTACCATATGCAGAGATGTATCTATCTGCTGTGGCGACTGTGATCTACACTACCTGATTCAAAGTTCTAGCAATTAAAATTTAACCTTGAAAACGAAAGTAGGAAATGAAGCCTATTTCAATAGACTTTTTAATGAACAGACCTTAAAACATAAGTTAGAGTAGTAACTCACATTCAAATTGGTGACTCTGAATCAATGTCTCCCTTCAGAATGGATTTTAAATAATCAAAGAGCAAATCATATTTAGTATGTTTTTTTAATTAAGTGATTTTTTTGGTCCTCCAATTCTTTGGAGACTATTATGGCATCTTTATAGCTTTGTGAATTAGAAAGCCCATTCGATCACTGTGGTACATTACTGAAAGAATAATGTAACTGGGAATTTAGTTGCTTAATTACATTCATTTTCTCAATCACTCTGTTTCCCAAGGAAACTATTTTAGGGAAGAAGCATGGATTAGAAAATGTGTTCCAATCAACTGCTGTGTCTGCTTTGTTTCTAGATAACGAGCAAAAGCAAGGAGTCCATATGGGAGTTCATCAAGAGTTTGCTGGATGCATGGTCAGGATGGGTGGTGATGCTGCTCATTGGTCTGCTGGCAGGTACGTGGAAGAATATGCAGGACTTCCAGGGAAAGCTGGAGATGCTGAAACTCTAAACACCAACTCTTTGGGAAGATATTTGGGGTATGGAGTGTTTCTCTTTTACCCCCAACACAAGGGATTTATTACTTGAAATATCTATGAGCTAAGTACATGACCATATATTTAGCTTAAAATCTATCATCAAACCCAAGACATAGCTTCTGGAGAGCTGTGGATTTTAGCATTGATAGGCCCTTCCCACACAGAGCAGTGGGTGATTACCACACTATAGTTTTCTGAAAGTATACAGTTCATATCTGTTATACTTGGTTATGTAGAAGCAGCAAAATATGGAAATATTTTTATCTCTAGTCACCAAACACCATAGGAGACTGGCTTTTAATACTACTGGGTAAACCCTGAAATGAACTGTAAATGTCCTACTGCATTCAAAATAATACTAGATACCCACAATATCTGAGGTGGGCCCAGGCAGTGTACCTCCATCCCCTACATTGTTCTGACTCTCAGAGACACTGCGTCCTTCATTTTTGTAATCCCAGTGCCATGTTTGTGAGCAGTAGATGTTTCAAAGTAAATGGATGACTATTTGGAGGGAAAACCTGTCCTTTTCAAACCAAATGTACCAGCTCTCCATGGAAATTGTTGCCTGAAACTTATTTTCCTTTAAGAGGCTGTGAAGGTTAATGTCTAAGAATTTTTTTTAAATGAGGCCAACATATAGAAAGCCCCTTAATAAAAATCCTCTACATATAGCAACCTAATAATTATGATTTTAAAATTGACTATAATACAGGCAGAATATAGTAAGTTCTCTAAGAAAGAACACTAACAGGGCACAGATATAATTTTGTGATTACAGAGGATTTTGATTGCTGGGGAATCTTTCATTTATGCCAAAGGTAATTGTATGCAGGGCATGGTTGCTAGGCAAGAGGTCTGTCTGCTTGGGCTGCCTCCATGTTCCACAAAGAGCCTAGAAGAAATGTCTGGGGTAGGGAGGGGAGCTTGCTTTCCTACTAGTTACAGTGGCTGTCTATCCATCTCTTCAGTTCCATCCTTCTTCCCCTGGTGGTGTTTTCCAGTGTATGATGATTACAGCCACCAAGAAAGGGAATTGGTCTTGGGGACATAGTGTTCTGCTACCAATTTTACCTGACTGCTTCTATAAAGACCTTTGAAAGTGGGCAGAGTGGGAATTTGTTGTGAATTTTCATGCCTTTATGTAGAAGAAATTCATAAAACCTTGCAGTGTATCATTACTCTTGGCTCCTAGGAAGGAGAAATTAATAGGGGAAATGAAGAGACTCAGTATCGATATTCTGGCATCTTGCCGAAGTAAATGGCACAGCTTAGATTTATTGACTAATCTAGGGGCCCCATTGGGATATCTTTAATGTATCTGATTTTGACCAGCTGGCTTCACTTGTGATCTAATTTCCATCAGTTCTTTTAGGAGGAATCATCTGGGGAATTTAAAAGATATATACTGCTGCCTGGGCTTCAATTAAACAGCCTCTCCGGAGAGAACTTCCTGGCATTAAGTACAGACTCCATCCTTTTTCTTCCATGATTCTGATGTGAAGCCAGGGATGAGAGCCACAGAGGAAGCAGATCCCATGAGCAAATCAGCAGATGAATATAGGAGGGCAGGAATGGGAGGATATGGAGAACAAAGGTGGCTTAAATGTTCTTTTGATTTGGATGCACATCGAGGGGAAATATAGTGAGCTGTGCCTTTCCCCTACTGTTCTATTGGTGGAGAGGACTCAGGCATCGCAGTGCCTGGCCAGTCCTCCCCTCACAGGCACCCTGACCATTTTATTTGGACTCCCATGATGGGGAAGTGCAGCTGTATCTCTTCTGCAGAGCATTTGTCAGAAGACACCACTGGGTGTCGCTGTTGTATCATGCAACAAAGCTAAGGATCGACCAGAGCACAGTCAGAACCAGGACTGGCAAGAAAGATTGGGTGTGGAATAATGTGATTATAAATGAATGAAAAGTGATGCAATTTGGGCTGATCATTGAATTTTGACTCTGCATCTCTGAAGTACCCTCCCCTCGCCTTCTTTACACCTTTGTTCAAATATCATTTTCCATTTGAAACTTTTTCTGATCTCTTTAAAAATCACATCCTTCCCTCTCTGAGCCTATCCTATCCCCCTTACTTGCTGTATGTATGTATGTAACTACTCTATTGAAATACAATTCACATACCATACAGTTAACCCATTTATGTGTAGAATTTTGGTTTTAGTGTATTCACAGAGTTGTGTAACCACCACTATGAGCAATTTTAAAATGATTTTATTGCCCCTAAAAGACCCTTGAACTATCAAGTACCAGCCTCCCCTCTCATCCCTGGTCATCTCTAATCTTCTTTCTGTCTCTATATATTTGCCTATTCTGAAAATTTCATATAAATGGAATCACACAAAGTGATCTTTTGTGATTAACTTCTTTCACACAGCATAATCTTTAAAGGTTAATCCATGTCATAACATGTATCAGTACTTCATTCCTTTTTATCTCCAAATATTTATTCCATTGTATGGATAGACCACATTTTGTTTACCTTTCATCCACTGATGAATAATTGCATTATTTCTGCTTTCTGGCTATTTTGAACATTGATATGAATATTTGTATACCAGTCTTTGTGTGGATGAATGTTTTCATTTCTCTTGAGCATATCCCTAGGAATGGAATTGCTTAGTCAAATGGTAACTCTTTGTTTAATATTATGTGTAACAGCCTGATTGTTTCCTGAAGTGGCTACTCCATTTTAGGGTGTTATATTTTCTCTCTAGTACTTATCACTTTTCCCCCACCTCATACTTGAGACTGAATCCAGGGCCTTACACATGCTAGGCCAGTGCTCTACCACTGAGTTACATCCCTACACTTTTTATTTTTCATTTTAAGGCAGGATCTTGCTAAATTGCTCAGGCTGGCCTTGAACTTAGGATCCTTTTGCCTCAGCCTCCCAAATTTCTGGGAGCCACTCACACCAGGTGCATTTATTGTCCTCTAATGGAGCCCCTGATGTACTTGTTTTTGCCTAGTGTCTTTCTCCCTCTACAAGGTGCAATTCCACGAAGACAGGGACTTGGCTCTGTTTTGTTTGCTGCTGTATCCACAGTGCATGGCCTAGTGACTGGCACATAGTAAGCAGATGATCAATAAACACTCTTTTAAGTGAATGAATGGATTTGAGGATTTTTAAAAAATGTTTCCATTCATTTACACATCACACTCATTCATTTAGCATGAATATATAGCTCCAACTGTGCACCTGACAGATATAACCATGAATAGGGCAGATAGGGTCTGTGCCCACTTGAAGTAGATAGAGGGTCTGGATGACTGACCTGACTTACCCTGTGACACAAAAACTATACAGCAAAACCTTTTCCTCCACCACTTATAAACTAGTGGAAGTACAAACACATGTGCTGCATGTGTGTGCGTGCGCGCATGCACACACACACACATCTAGCTAATCATGATATCAGGATGTGAGAAGTATGGTGATGGGGGAAGGACAGACTGCCACAGCAGTACTTGGGAAGTATATCTAACCCAGACTTAGGAAATCAGGGAAGAGTTCTGTGAGGAAGTGATATAAATTCTGGCATCTGGAAAATAAGCAGGAGATTGCTTGGTCAGGGGGATCGCAGTGCTTGCTGAGGTGGTGCAGAGAAGACAGCCTGGCATGGTTCAGGAACATTAAGTGGGCAGGTCATAGGGGGTTAGTGCTAGAAAAAAGATGAAGCTGGAGAGATGAGTGGCCAGCTGGCAGGTTCTGAGATCTGTTGAGGATTTAGGTGTTCTCCCAAGAATGATGGGAAACTATGGCAGGGTTTCCTCTATGTGGGAAGTGTGGTGGCATGGATTAGACTGGAGTTTTTGAAAGCCTGTCTGACCACAGTGTGGGGAACCTATTGGAGGGGAGCAAGGCTGGAGTAGGGAGACCAGAGAGCAAACCCTTGTACAGCCCAGCCAAAAATGATTCCAGAATGTTGGTCTGAATGGCTGCAGAAGTGGTGGAGAAGGAGGGAAATGGAACAATTTAAGAGAGATTTCAGAGGAGGAATTGTGAGGATGTGATGATTGCCTGGAAAGGGGATGTTTATTTAGGTTTTTAGTTGGCACAAGTCCCTGGGTGGAGGGATCTCCTCCCAGCTGGGAACAGAGCTGAGGCTGGGGAAAAGTTCCTTGATTTCAGCATTAGAAGCAGTGAGTTGGAGCAGAGATAGCCAATAGACCCAAAAGGCAATTATACTCTTGTCCTTTGATGATTCCTATTCATTGGTTTTGATTCCTGAGGCTCTATTAAAAAGGTCTGTGAGGATGAGTCCATAGAGTGGGTCATGATTAATTAGTGGTGTCTGCCATGGGCATGTCAAAAGGGTTGTGAAGGTGAATCCAGTGGAGTGTGTCACAATTGATTGGTGATGTCTGCTGTGTGCATTGGAGACTGGCAGCTGGGTTGTGTAGTTATTGTAGCTCAGTAGCAAATGGAAGGATGTGAATAAGGTTGCCAAGGTTGAGAGCACAGTATAAAAAGAGAAATGTTTAGAGTCAAGTTTTGAGGAAATGAACCTTTTAGAAGTTGCTTAGAGGAGTAGGAAAGATCAGGGGAGGTAGAGAAAAACAGATAACTAGGAGGAAACCAGGAGAGTTCAATATTGTGGGAGCCAAGGAAAGAGGCATTTCTAGAAGAATGGGGTGTTAGCATGTCAAATGATGCCGAGAGGTCTGAACCTGGGTTTAGCAAACTTTTTCTTTAAAAGGCCAGTGAGTAAATATTTTCAGTTTTGTGGGCCATACAGTTCCTGCCTCAGCAATTCAATTCTGCCACTGTAGCCTGAAAGCAGCCACAGTCAGTACGTAATTGTATGGTATGGCTGTGTTGCAATAAAATTTTATTTGCAAAAACAGTCAGTGGGCCAGATCCAGCCTGTGGGTTGTAGTTTGTAGATTCTTTTCTAGAAGATAAAGACGAGCACAGGCCTTTGCCATTAGCTGCATAGGATTCTCCTGGTAGACGGAGGGAACGAATTAGGCTGAGGGGAAATGAGACTGAGAAAAGAAGGAACGAGATAGGATGATGGCTGGATGGGAAAGTGGGCCCAGGAAGGGATTGCTTTGTTTCTTAAAGCTGAAATGCTGATGAGAAGGAGCCATCAGAAAGGGAGGGGTGAAATGCAGGGGAAAGGGGAGGTGTTAAGAAGTGAGGAGGAAGGAGATCCAGGGCCTAAGCAGGGAAGGGTCCTAGAACTGAGTCAGGCAGCTTCCAGAGTTGGAGGAGGGAAGTGTGCTGGTGTGGATGCCTTTGGCAGTGATGTGAAACCAATTCTGTAATAAGGATCTAGTAAAAATTTGAAGTATTAAGAAGCCTGAAAACACGCACTGTTTTTATAACAGACTAGAATGGGTGATTCTGGAAAGTAACCCGAGGCAGCCTTTTGTGGGCCACTCAACTGCACATTCTATTTTATCCCATTTCCAACAGCCTTTGAAATAAGTTTTGACTTATATAGACCCACAATCCCTTATCCATAATTTTAAAAGTCCAGAAACTTCTAATAAATATGGTTTTCTCGAGTGCAGTTTGTATTTGGTGGCAAAGCCTTACTCATTTTAGGGTGTGAGGCTGGCATTGTTGCTGTGCCTCCAGTTTGTCTGAATTAGCATGCTTCTGTGAGAAATGTTACTGTGTGTGATTGTAAGGTCCTGCCCCAGCAGCCACCGAGAGGGTTGTATCTTTTATGGAGAATATTCCCTATTTGAAAATTTGGAAAGGGATGAATCCCCAAAGCCCCTTGACCCTGGTAATGTGAGATAAGAGTGTAACCTACCTGGTGTAAGCCAGTAAGTCCTCTGTATCTCCCATTGGGTGGGGGAACTGCCTTGCCCACACCACAGGTGTTCAGGTGACTTGCTGATTAATGAAAGAGGTTTCCTATGTCAATGCCAGTGGCGGCCCTACAATATGCTCATGTTCTCTCTGGTACCTGGGCCTTTGTGGCTGCCATGTTCTTGGTTGCTGCCTGTTGCATGGTCCCCTTGCCTTGTAGAACAACTCCTTTCAATGGCTGTGCTGCTTCTTCTAGGCACTTTGGCTGGGGTCATCGATCTTGCAGTCGACTGGATGACGGACCTGAAGGAAGGAGTCTGCCTGTCTGCCTTCTGGTACAGCCATGAGCAGTGCTGCTGGACATCCAATGAAACTACTTTTGAGGACAGGGACAAGTGCCCCCTGTGGCAGAAGTGGTCAGAGTTGTTGGTGAATCAGTCAGAGGTGGGTGTCTGTGCAGGGGCCTGGCTGGGAATCCCCACCCGTCTGTGATACGTGAATGCGCGTGCTTTCTACCTTCTTTTTCCTTCTTTTTTCCACAGTGCTGGGAATGGGACCCAGGGCCCAGTGCATGCTAAGCAAGGATTCTACCATTGAGCTACACCCCAGCCCTTTTTATTTTATTTTGGGGTAGTTTCTTGCAAAGCTTCCCAGGCTGGCCTTGAATTTGCTATCCTCCTGTCTCATCTTTCCAAGTTTCTGGGGTTATAGGCACAGCCACTGTGCTTGCTTGCTTTCAGTTTTAAGATGTCCCTGGTGTAATTCTAGGATGGCTTGTTTTCTTCTAGCTCTAATGCTACTTCTGAAACTTCACTTGGAAGAAAATACTTCTCTACTGTTTTATGTACATGGTGTGTGTGTGTGTGTGTGTGTGTGTGTATGTGTGTGTCTATGTGTGTCTATTTATGTATGTAAAAGCCTTTTGTCTGCCTTTTTCTTACCAAGGGTGGTTTTTGATCATGCTAAAGAACCAGTGTTGATTTTTATGCCTTCTAATAGAGGAGAAAAGATGTTACATTTTAAAAAATAACAGCTTTAATGAGATACTTTACAGTTCATATGGTTCTTTCATTTAAAATGTACAATCCAATGGCCTTTAGTATATTTACAGATTATGTGACTATCACCATAATCGAATTTTAGAACATTTTCATAACCTCTCCCCTCAAAACCCTGTACCCATGAGTAGTCACTCTCATGTTCCCCCAACCTGCCAGTCTGAGGTAACCACTAATCTACTAGCTATCTATAGATTTGCCTCTTCTATACATTTCACATAAGTGGAATCACGTATAATGTGCCCTTTGTGTCCCTTGAGTATAATGTTCTCCAGGTTCCTTCATGTTGTAGCATGAACCAGTACTTCCTTTTCATGACTGGACAACATTTCATTGTATGGATAGACTACTTTTTATTTATCAATTCATCAGTTGATGAACATGAGTTGCTTCCACTTTCTTGGCTACTCTGAATGATGCTGTTATGAACATCTGTGTGCAAATTTTTGCATGGACATACATTTTATTTCTCTTGGGTATGAGTGGAACTTCTGGGTCAGATGGGAACTCTATGTTGAATCTTTTGAGGAACTTCCAGAATGTTTTCCAAAGTGGCTGCATCATTTTACATTCCCACCAGCAGTGTATGAGGGTTCCAGTTTGTCTACCTTCTTGCCAACACTTGCTAATATTTTTTTTTTTTATTATTCCTAGCCTAGCACGTGGGAAGTGGTATCTCACTGTGGTTTCAGTTATCATCCTCCATTGCATTTTATGACTGCATTACAGAGGATGTTTCTGGACCTTCTATGAAGAAAATGTCTAGGCATAGAGAATTTTGTGGTAATGCACAGATCCAGTGCTTATCTTCTTGGCAATTATGGCCTCAGATCTTTATAAAAATCTTAGCTCTGGAAAGCGTTAACTTCTTACTAAATTCAGTGGTTACCACAATGAATAGGGGTCATTGATGAATCAGAAAGCCAGGTGACGGCACTTGGTGGCCAAGCTTCACATTAGTGGTATTGGGAGGACTCTACAAGGTAGAACTATGCTTGGAAGATATATGTATTGTATTTGTACATCTCCTTCCTTCCCCACGTTTTTGTTCTTGTCTGACTCACTTACCACAGCTGAAGACATTTGGAATGCACTTTGCCATTTTGCTAAACCTCTGTCTTAGAGGAATTGAAAATTTATTCTTTCATATCTCATAAGTAGACACTTGAAATCTCACACATTCTCAATGCTCTCCATTACTTTCAAGAAGAAATTCTCTACCTGGTTTGGTGGTAGTGGGCAGGCAGGATTGGCTGGCTTCCATATTTTATTTCTTCTCTCATAGTGACAATATACATTTGAGGGGAAATATGGCTGTCGATCTTTTCAACTGATTTTCAGATTTATACTTTGATTCAAAGAATTACTGTTTGCAGGAGTGAGAAGTTATTTTTAGCTTCCCCAAAAAGTCCATATTTAAGTGGGTGAAAGGTATTCCTCAGTCTGATTGCTCACCACATAGGGTGTGAATATGTGCCTGCAGTGCAGCTTCCAGGAATGTGTTGTTGCTTTTAATAGGCACACATGTGGCTGTGGCCGTGGCCAAACTTGTAGGTGATCTCTCTTTCTTTTCCCCCTCACTTGAGTAATCCAGATGGTGATAGAAGCTGAGGCCTAAAAAAAATGAGGTCTCCACTCAGCAGATCAGGTCCTTGACCCAAAGACCCCAGACTGTGTTTTTGGTTGAGAAACCATTCTCCACACATCAGATAATTTGGAGTAAATGGCTCAGTGAATTATTCTGAAGGAGATGATCAAGCATTTCCACTCAAATTGTGCCTCTCAAATGTTCGTGTGCATGAGAATCGCCCAGAGAGCTTGTTAAACCACACAGAGCTGAGTTCCAGCCCATAGTGTCTGATTCAGCAGCTCTGGGGTGGGGCCGCTCTAATAAGCTTCCAGGTGATGCTGATGCTGCTGGTCCATGAACCATACTTAGAGGAGCCGTCTTCCAAAACACAGTTCTGAAGCTTACTCATTGGCAATGCAGTGTCTTGCTGTGGTATGGGTGTGGCTGTAATGAAAGCTAGGAGAGGCCAACCCACCACAGACAAGACAAAACAAATCTTCCCAAGTCTTGGAGGCAGAGTTTTCTGTGTCACACCTTTTATTAACTGTAGTGCAAGTGGTAATTACAACTCAGCAGCATTCATGGTTTCCATTACTGCAAAGATTTCACCCAGTGGAAGGTAGGTGTAAACAACTCCTGGAGGAACACTGGGTGCTGTTTGCGTGTAGTGACTGTAGCAATAGCAAAAAATGACAAATCCAACACTGGCCCCTTTGTTTATGTGGGACAGGGTAAACCAGTTCAGTCCCATCTCAAGATGGAGGGTGTGGGGTTGAGTAGTTGCTCAGATCTGCTGTGGCTCATGTTTTCTTTCTTGTTTTATGTCTGTTGTTTAGGGTGCCAGCGCTTACATTTTGAACTACTTAATGTACATTCTGTGGGCATTGCTGTTTGCATTTTTGGCAGTCTCCCTGGTGCGTGTATTTGCGCCATATGCCTGTGGTTCTGGTATACCAGAGGTGAGTTGTGGTTGAATTTCTTTTGTACCAATAATAAGAGTAGCAAATAATTGTGTAGCACTGTAGTGCCAAGCACAGTTTCAAGTATCTAGCATCTGTCAACACATTTATTCCTCACAATAAGCCTATGAGGTAAGTACTATCAGTCTTCATTTAACAGTCAATGAAACTAAAGGCTAGACAGGTTAAGTAACATGCCCAAGGTCACTAAAGCTGGTAAACTGTGAGTTGAACTCAGAAATTTGACTTCAGGATTAATACTTTATCTTCAGGATTTTTGCTCTGTTGGGTCTTAGATGATTAAATGTCTATCTTTATAAAGCAGACTGAACTTCTGTAGCATGTGAGATCAGAGTTCATTAATCATCTACATAAATGTGGCACTGTAATAACTCATAAGTGCATTTATGATGTAATGTGAAAACAGACAATACTGGAGGATCATTGCTGAGAACATTTACTGAACATCAAACTCCTTTGCCACATTTTGCTCTTCTGGTGACAAGGTAATAGCAATCTTGAAAAAATTAATTCTTCTTTCAGTGCATGCACTAGGAATGTAGCCCTGTGAACTTAGAGTTCTTGTAAAATGTTTTCAGCACTTTTATGTGACCAGGGTAGGAGGGAAGTGACCTCATCCATCAAGGAGAATACCTGAGACTGAACTTGAAAGCTAGGAGGATTGACTGGGCAGAACAATGATAACTGAGCTGATTCCCAAAAAAGCCCAGACAATGAAAATTTTCGCCAGAAATAATGTTTGAAGTTCTTATATTTTCATTTAATCAATGCAATTCAGTTCTGCTTTGGCTTGGCACTTCAGCAGTGCCCACAGGCAGTGGAGATAGTGAGTTTAGAGATGGAGTTATGGGCTAGTCATGGCAATGGATCCATACCCTTCTGGGTGCCTTCCCATATTGACTATTGTCCAGCTAGTTTACAGAAAGAGGTGGAGTGATTAAAAGATGGTCACAGGAAAAATTCAACATGGTCTTATTTCAGAAAAGAGAAGAAACAGTCAATATGCCACACTGAATTTTGATGGTTTATTTTAACATATTGCTTCAGGAACTAAAAAAACAAGATGTATTACCATCCTGTTTCCTCAGTGCAGCCAATTCTGCTATAATGAGACATATGTACTCTGAAAAATTACTGCTGTGCAGAATGGCACAGTAGAAACCATGGGTTTATGGGAAAAATGGGCTAGAAGGGCAAAACACTCAAAAACTTCCCCAGTGGAAGACAACCATTAGACTTTTCCACTCTACTTTTTGGGTCCATTTTGAGTTTTAAATGAGATAATGTGTGTAAAGCTCACAGAGCAATGCGTAGCAATTAGGAAAAAGAATTTAACAAATTTGTATCATGAAGGACATTATTAAAATAACAGCATTAAAAAAAAAAACTTCCCCAGTGACACAGATTTAAAAATTAGGACCCAAATAAAAATAGTAGTAATGCAGTGGTACACATGTCAAATGGCTAAAAAATATGTAAATTCTACAATACATATGTCACTTATTTTTTTATTTGTTGTAATTAGTTATACATGACAGCAGAATGCATTTTGACACATTGTACACAAATGGAGCACAACTTCTTCCATTAGCTGTACATGATGCAGAGTCACACTGGTCATGCAATCATACATGTACATAGGATAATAATGTCGGTCTCATTCCACCATCCTTTCTACCCCCACCCTCCCTCCCCTCCCCTCACTCCCCTCTACCCAATCCAAAGTTCTCCATTCTTCCCTACTGGCTGCATTATGGATCAGCATCCACTTATCAGAGAAAACATTCGGCTTTTGTTTTTTTTCAGATTGGCTTATTTTGCTCAGCACCAGCTCCATCCATTTACCTGCAAATGCCATAATTTCATTCTTCTTTAAGGCTGAGTAATATTCCATTGGGTATATATGCCATGTTTTCCTTATCCATTCATCTGTTGAAGAGTACCTAGTTTGGTTCCATAGCTTAGCTATTGTGAATTGAGCTGTGCTATAAACATTGATGTGGCTGTGTCACTGTAGTATGCTGATTTTAAGTCCTTTGGATATAGACCGAGGAGTGGAATAGCTGGGACAAATGGTGGTTGCATTTCAAGTTTTCTGAGGAATCTCCATACTGCTTTCCATAGTGGATGTACCAATTTGCAGTCCTACCAGCAATGTATGAGTGTACCTTTTCCCCACATCCTTGCCAACACTTATTGTTGCTTGTATTCTTGATTGCCATTCTGACTGGAGTAAGATAAAATCTTAGAGTAGTTTTGATTTGCATTTCTCTAATTGCTAGAGATGTTGAATATTGTTTCATATATTTGTTGATCGATTGTGTTTCACTCTTGAAAAAACTTGATGTGTGTTTATGGAAGTGGGTATCAGAAGGGATGCAGCTTATGAGTTCCTATGAAGGGGTGGAAGGAGGGTATGTTAGTCAGCTTTTCATCACTGTGACTTGAGGAAAACAACTTAAAGGAGTAAATATTTATTTTGGTTCATAGTTTCAGAAGTTTCAGTGCATGGTAAGCTGACTCTGTTCCTTTGGGCTTGTGGTGAGACAGTGCATTATGGCAGAAGGGCATGGCAGAGAAGCTGCTTAGCTCATGGCAGCTGGGAATCAAAGAGAAAGAAAGAAGCTGGGGACAAGATATAGTCCTCAAGGGTTTGCTTTCATGGATCCATTCCCTCCAAGTAGGTCCCACCTCCTACAGTTTCCACCACCTCCCATTCAGCTATCAATCTGCCAATGGATTAATCCATTGATAAGGTTAGAAGCCTTATGATCCAATCACTTCCCAAAGACCCCTGCCTCTGAACATTGCTAAATTGGGGACCAAACTTAGAACAGTTAGCCTTTGGGGGACATTCCAGATCCAAACCGTAACTGAGGGTGATCTGAAATCAGAGGGGAAGTTGTGATGTCAGGTATAGACAGTCATGGCTAGCACATGGACTGGTACATGTGTGAAATATGTGCAATTTTTGTTTTTCTACATGGCTCTGTTCAACTGGGTGCAGTTTTCTGCATTCACCTCATATTTTTTTTTTCTGGAGGAAATTGTGTATTAACAGGCACAAACTTTCCTTTATGCTCAAGTTTCTCTCTAATATATGAATAGCATTGGGACCAATTTGCATTTTCAAATCAGGTGTTATATAAAAGTGACTGTATTTTATGTGGTGCCCAAAGCCTAAGGCACCCTGGACAATAAAAAGGACAGATCATCATTGGCATCCCATTTTATGAACCCACTGCCCACCAGTCAGTGTTTTGACTCAGGCCTTTCCAAAATAAGGAGATGGTCAGTGGGGAATTGGAAAATCTAAAGCAGCAACATAAGACACCATGGGCAGGCTCCTCCCCCTCTAAGGACCAGAGATGTGTGGCTCAGCTGGTGATCTCATGGAGAGAGAAAGCTCAAATGTGAGCTCTGTCTTTGAGGGTTCTGTGACTTTTTCTTCTCTAAAGTGGGCATCATTATCGGAGATAGCTGAACTCAAAAGGAGTCAAATACTGAGTTGAGCATTTAAGTTTCTTGTGACAAAGTACAGGAAACATTGACAAAAATATGACATCATGTGAAGAAAGTAAGTTTCAGAAGAATATGTAAAATATGATTCTAGTCATATAAAGTCCACAAACAAACAAATTGAAACAACATATGTGCTAACGTGGTCAAGAAAGGAAGAGAGGGAATCCCTTTTTTGGGACCCCTCCCTCTTTGGTAGCTCTGCTTTCTTTCTATTACTCTAATAAATCCTGTTACTCTGTTACTTTGCTCTCAAAAAGAGAAAATAAAGGCAGAGAAAAGATTGGAAGTGGTGAGGGGAAGGAGGAAGGTTCCATTTGGGAGGCAAACAGGGTATTCACTCTTTTATCTCTTCTACTTGGTAGTGGGTTTGTGGGTGCTTCTTTTATCAACATTCTTTTAAGCATAGGTAAGTATGTAATAGATTCATTTTTCTATTTATAAAAGTGTTCACCTCAATCTTTTCAAGTATCAGGAACCAATGGAAGTTTTGTAATTAAGTATGGTTATAACTCATCAGTAGCAAAGTTTTCACTATTATCATTACAAAGCTGGAAATCCTTCGCATAAGGCTGCAGTGCTCTAACGCTGAGCTATGCCCCAACCCAAGGCATGTTTCTAAAAGTGCTCATCCTCCCTCTCAGAAACTTACTCTGAGTTGATGTTTCTGTTCCTTACAAAACATGAACACTTGTGCAAATATTGATCAACCAGAAAGGGTTCTGGTTTTAAGGGTAACATCACCCAGTCACAAATCCACTGCATTAAAGCCCTGCTTGCTTCAGTCTCTACGAATTCAAATTAAAGAAGGTGATTGGATTTTGGCATCTACTGGGAATGAATTTGCCTTCTTTAGCTCCTAATTTGATCATGACAATTTTATAAAATCATTTTAGAGAATTATAAAATACCTATTACACTGTTCAATTCGCCACATGTCATGGCTGGCAAAGGCTCAGGTAATTTAGATGCTTGTAATTTTCTAAATGGTATTATGCTTTTAAACTGTACCCTGGGGTCCAAATCCACATTAACTAACTGACAAAAAATTACAGATAATTTTATTCGAGGCAACACAAAAGGGCAGGATTGTGGCAGGCATAATAAAACATCCCTTAAATAAAGGGATCTCAGATTCCCTAGAGCACAAGCTCAATCAGGCCAACTACCACTAGTTAGATACTAGTTTAACCACTACTAGTTGGTCTGCTAGTAGTTCAAGGCTAGTTCAAAAAATACTATCTGATTATGGCTCAGAGATCTCATGTAAGTTCTAGAGGAAGGAGCTCTCAGAGTTTTTTGGGAATGCACAAGTGTGTGCATGTGTGCAAGTGTGTTCTCTCTCCTTTCCCTTCCCCTCACTCTCTCCTTGTTCTCCTTGAATTAAGAAAGATATCTCTATCAATAATTTCTGAGGTGAAAATGGTCCTGTCCGCAGACCTTTAAAATTAGAGGATTCATTCAATAACCTTTCCAAAATCACCAAAGTTGACCTGATGTTCAGTAGAAAAAGCTAGTGAAAAAATAGAGTGTTTCAGGGCTGTCCCTGAAATATCAAGAAATTAGGAATAGCTGTATTACTCTTTTCAGGAATGAAGCACTTTAGAATCACCTGGGGAGGCTATAAAACTTCCTATACTTGGATGCACCCCAGATCAACTATAGCAGATCTCTGCAGTGAGAGCCAATTCTCAATATTTCCTAACTTGCTGGGTAATTCTGATGAGCATCAAGGTTGAGAAGGATTTTAATAGCTATTTGAGGAATTGCTTAGATGGCAGAGCACTGCTCAGAAGGAGGCATTTTGAAGTTATGTAAATGACACTGATAAGAGATAACATTGTACCATCATGTATTACACAATGGGAAAACAAAATTGACCAGCAATTTCACTGAATTCTTATCTAATTAACGTATGATTAGAGGTTTGCAAATTGCTACCTTAGCAGTGAACACTCACTCCATTTTAGCCAAGTATGAGAGAGATTGGAGGTAGAAGTTATTTTGCTATTGGTGATGCTTCTATCTATGCAAAAGAATACCATTTAGTGGCTAAATGTTTTCTCTGATATAAGGTGACTGACTCATAGTGGGTTAGGGAGAGGGAACATGGGAGGAATAGATGAACTCTAGATAGGGCAGAGGGGTGGGAGGGGAAGGGAGGGGGCAGAGGGTTAGCAATGATGGTGGAATGTGATGGACATCATTATCCAAAGTACATGTATGAAGACATGATTGGTGTGAACATACTTTATATACAGAGATAGGAAAAATTGTGTTCTATATGTGTAATAAGAATTGGGATGTATTCCGCTGTCATGTATTTAAAAAATAAAAGCAGTTAAAAAATACCATTTAGGGAAGTGGACTTCAGTATACAAAGTTAATCACCAAGATTAGTATCCAGTTGAATTCTAAATGTATTACACAAAGGCTCATATGTGCCTATAGGAAGAAAGTCATTATTTGGCGAAGTGGAGCAAGTCTGAAAATGGAGCAGGATGTTTCCCTGTATTCAGTCTTTTCCAATACAAGAGGGTAGGATTTGATGGAAGGGAAAAATTTGGAGAGCAGATTGTACACTGTCCTAGATAGTATTATTAAAACTCCTATCCTCCTCCTCCATTCTGTCTGGAGCATAAATCATCCAGTCTATCTATGCTGGGTACACTACACTCGCATTAGTCAATAGCTATCTTGGTTATCAGATTAATTGCAGTGCTTCTGTTCAAGTAACCCTCATTTTACTTAAAAATGGCCCCAAAGCATAAGAGTAGTGATGCTGGCAATTTGCATATTCCAAAGAGAAGTTGTAAAGTCCTTCCTTTAAGTGAAAAGGTGAATGTTCTTGACTTATGGAAAGAAAAAGTATTGTATGCTGAGGTTGTTAAACTCGATGGTAAGAATGAATCTTCTCCCCATGAAATTATGAAGAGGAAAGAAACATTTCATGCTGATTTTGCTGTTGCTCCTAGAACTGCAAAAGTTATGGTCATAAGTTGTAGATGAATGCTTAGTTAAAATAGAAAAGCCATTACATTTTTTGGGTGGGAGACATGAACAGAAAATGTATTCTAATTGATATAATTGTTCTATTTTATTATTAGTTATTGTTAAATTCTTATGTGCCTAATTTATAAATTAAACTTTATCATAGGTATGTGTGCATAGAGAAAAACATAGTATATATAGGACTTGGTACTATCTGAGGTTTCAGACATGCACTGGGGGTCTTGGAATATATCCCTGTGGGTAAGTGTGGGGACTACTATTATTCAAACTTTTGTTAATATAATATCAAATTGAAGACACATCAAAAACTAAGATAGCTTCTCTTCATGTTCTTTAGTGAATCTAGCTCAGATGCATTACAGTTCTTTTTCTACCCATGGCTGGAAGCTTTTCATTCTCCCTTACTCTCTGTCCTCTGTTTCAGATAAAGACCATTTTGAGTGGCTTTATCATCAGGGGCTACTTGGGGAAGTGGACCCTGCTAATCAAGACAGTTACCCTGGTGCTGGTTGTATCATCTGGCCTGAGCCTTGGGAAAGAAGGGCCACTGGTACATGTGGCTTGTTGCTGTGGCAACTTCTTCAGTAGCCTGTTCTCCAAGTACAGCAAAAATGAGGGCAAAAGGCGTGAGGTGAGCCAGCTCAGCTTCCATCTGTGGGGAAGGATTCTTCTCAGGGCCCTGGATTCCCTGACCCCTGCCTTTGGCTCACCTGCACAGAGCATACTTATAATGATTTGCTTTGCAGGTGCTTTCAGCTGCTGCTGCTGCTGGAGTGTCTGTGGCCTTTGGTGCTCCCATCGGAGGTGTGCTGTTCAGTCTAGAGGAGGTGAGAAGGGGCAGTGAGGGCATTTGTGGTTTTGAGTGGCAAGGCATATGTGGGTGGTTGGCAGAGCAGAAAGCCTTCATCTACCCTTGGGAGATTAGACTCACAGAAGTACTGAATAAGGTTCCTTCAGTTAACTGAGGAGCCACAATTTCCACCATTAGATATGTTTTCAAGTATTTTTTAAAGAGTGATATAAACTCAAAGTTTGAATGTTTTTTTTTTCCACATGCAGAAGCGAGAGTAAAATAAAGGAAAGGGGGAGGGAAGGATAAGAATACATAAACAACCAATCAAATTCAAATTAATAGCTGAGTGAAAAGAAGGCTAGTAAAGGAAGGAGAAGGGAGATGGGAGGGAGATTGGGAGGGAAAAGGGAAGGATCATGAACTGAAATTGATTTTCATGCATGTATGAGTTTGTCATAATGAACCCAACTACTATGTATCCATAAAGCTCCAATAAAAAATATTGCCAATATAATTTTGGGGGAGATTTATAGTATCTTCTCTCTCATAACCAAATTGGGTTCTATTTTGTTTTTGAAACCTGAGTGGATCAATCATATGATTGGCAAATGTTTTTTGAAAAGGGCTAAACAATAACTATTTTAGGCTATGTTGGCCACACCGTTTCTGCTACAGCCAGTCAACTCTGCTGATGTAGCAGGAAAGCAGCCAGACAGTGCCTCCATGAGTGGGCATGGCTATGTGCCCCGAAAGCTTTCCTTGTGGACACCAAAATTTGAATTTCATGTAATTCTCAAATGGCACAAAAACTGTTCTTCTTTTGAATAGATATTTCATGTCATAAGTTGCTTTTTTTCTTTTCTGACTATTAAAAAGGTAAAAACCATTCACAATTCGTGTGCCATATATATATTGCTGGCCAGAATTTTCCAATCCTTCATCTTTCTGTTGTCTGTAGAATCAAATCCAGAGTTTTATTTGCATTTTGGAGGACCTATGTGCTGTGAACACTATTGGCAATATTATGAGTAAATAGTTTTGTTTCTCTCTCTCTCAGTGATGAGAATATAACCCTGGGTGGGTGTCGAGCATGCTGAGTGTTCCCTCAACCACTGAGCTACACCCCTAGCTCTTTACTTCTCTTAAAACATAGCTCAAGCCAGGCATAGTGCTGTATGCTTGTAATTCTAGCAGCTCAGGAGGCTGAAGCAGGAGGATTGCAAGTTTGAGGTCAGCCTTGGCAACTAGTGAGACCCTGTCTCAAAATTTTAAAAGACTGGGGATGTAGCTTCGTGGTAGAGCACCGCTGGGTTCAATGTCCAATACCCCGACAAAGAAAAAAGAAAGAAAAATATTAACTCAAACATATATTGATTAGTATCTAATCAATATAGTATCTATGCTACTTTTCCACATAGATTCCCTAAATATCTTTATTGGTGCATTTTTGTCACAGTTAAACCTAGACTGATGAAATATGTGCCACTTACCTTTTGTCTTAGATTGTATTTTTCCTGCTAAGTGCCAACAGGTAGATACTGACACAAGGGGAAGGGATCTGAGCTGCTTTTTCTCTAGCCAGTCTCCAATTTTCTTCTTGTTTGTCCCAGGTCAGTTACTATTTTCCTTTGAAGACCCTGTGGAGGTCATTTTTTGCAGCCTTGGTGGCAGCCTTCACACTGCGATCCATCAACCCGTTTGGAAATAGCCGCCTTGTTCTCTTTTACGTGGAATACCACACACCTTGGTACATGGCTGAACTGTTTCCCTTCATCCTGCTTGGGGTCTTTGGGGGCTTGTGGGGAACCCTCTTCACCCGCTGCAACATTGCCTGGTGCAGGAGGCGCAAGACCACCAGGCTGGGGAAGTACCCGGTACTGGAGGTCATCGTGGTGACAGCTATCACTGCCATCATTGCCTACCCCAACCCCTACACGCGCCAGAGCACCAGTGAGCTAATTTCTGAGCTGTTCAATGACTGTGGGGCCCTTGAGTCCTCCCAGCTCTGCGACTACATCAATGACCCCAACATGACTCGGCCTGTGGATGACATTCCAGACCGGCCAGCCGGGGTTGGGGTTTACACAGCCATGTGGCAGCTGGCCCTGGCACTGATCTTCAAAATCGTCATTACAATATTTACCTTTGGCATGAAGGTAAGTGAAGGGGAGGGTCGATGTGGAGGGGGGGGTTCTGTGTCTTTCTGGGGAAAGCACCCACTTCTCCAAAATAAAATTGTGATCTGAGAAGGAGGGGAACTGAACTTTCTTGTATGTTCTCATGTGGTTGACATTCTTTTAATCAACAGGAAACAATTCTCTTAATAACCGACAACCCTGTGGAGTTGAAATTTTAATCTCATTTTATAATCAAGGGTAGTTAAGGCCCAGAGGCCATAGATGGCTTTGTGAGACCCACAGTTTATGGGAGACAGAGCTAGGCATCAAATTCACCTCATCACCTTCACAGACCAGGGGTAAGCAGAAGTTTATCTGTCATCTGGGTGATAGCAGGGAGTGGAAGAAGCCCAGGTTTGGCCTGAAGGGATCAGCAAACACGCCTTGAGCTTCAGCTATATCCTGAGCACTGTGCTAAGTCCCAGGAACACAGAGCCTGATACAGAATGCTGCCCTTAAAGAACATACCACTCTAAGAGAGACACATGCAAACCCAGTGTTTGGAGATGGCGTGATGAGCACCCTATATACCAGGACCACAGGATGAGAACATAGAGTAAGCGTGTCCCTGGCCTGGGTGGGGCTGGGGCTAGCAGGAGCTCCTTGTATATGTCCTCTCTTCATGGAAAGTGTTCCTGTGAACTGTTATTATTGTTCCTAGAATCAGAGGACAGATCAGCTTTCATTCTTTTTAAAACACTCTGCTAAATCAGTTCAGATATACTTTGATAATCCTTCCTAAAGAGCTTTCTTTCATGGACTCTGGCATTTGAGTTATTTTTGCCTTTTAAATTTTGGGAAAATGGAGGACAAGTTCATACAATATAAAAATGGATCATTTTAAAGTATACAAGTCATTGGCTCCTGAAGCTGCTCATTTGGTCTTTGTCTCAATGGATTTACCTATTTTAGACTTTTCATATAAATGGAATGTGTAGCCATTTGTATCTGGCCTCTTTCACCGAGCATGGTGTTTTCAAGGTTCCTCTGTGATGTAGTAGGTGTCAGTGCTTCATTCCTTTTTTGTGGCTGAATACTATTCCATTCTATGGATATTCCACATTTTGTTTATCCTCTCATCCTTTGATGGACATTTGTGTTGTTTCCACTTTTTGGCTATTATGAATAGTTCTATTATTGCTTATTTTTAAAAAATATTAGAATATATCATTCATACAGAGATGTGCACAGCTTGATGAATTTTCACAAAGCACACATGCTGTATAAACAGCACCCAGGACCAGAAACAGAGCATTACTCACCCTCCAAAGCCCCTTGTTATGTTCTATTACTCTTGCTTTTTATGTGATATTTCTGTGAATTTTCTCTTCAAAAAGTCTAAAAACTGGTGAACTTGAGTATATAGTAAACAAACACAAACCAGAATTTGTGCCTTAAGAACAAGGATGGACATCATTAAACAACTGACTGGTTCTAATCCATCAGCTCCTAGCAAAGGGATTTATTTTCATGTCTGAGGAAGATGCTAGAAGCATCTTTGGTGCTTGCTGAGAGAAGTTTACTTTGAAGTGTCAGGGGATTAAATTACTGTGGAATAAGAGGAAGTTCAGAAAGAACAATTTCCTAAGGAATGTTTCAAATTCCAATAATTGCACACAAGGACCCAAACTGAACTTCTGAGGTTGAAGACGTACTTCCATCCTCAGATTGATGACCACCTGGGGCAGGCAAAAATGTGCCCAGGATCAGCAGTTGTATGGGATCCCCAAGAATGTGGGGAGTCAGGCATGTTCTGTAGCACGTGTATGGTCACTAGATAAACTAACATGTATTTTCATTCAGCTAAGTAGGTAGCATTCTGCTACCAACATCATTTTGGTTACATAGTCTGTTTCTTTGCTGCCTCTACCCTGGCTGGAAAAATATCAGAATGCCTCTTGGAAAATGTACTTCGTTAGGAAAAGGGTACTTTCCCTCATCTGTCTCTGACAAGTGTCCAGCAATCATCCTTTAAAGAGGGCAGTGAGCCCTTGAAAAGCCTTTTGGAAGACCCAGGCAGCTGCAACGATGCATTCAGCTTCTCTATTTTACCTGGGAGCAATTGCAGACCCTTCTATTCCATTTTCATGCTGTGACTTGACATTTAATTTTCAAAGCCAATCTGAATGACACAGCAAGAGGAGCAAGAAAGTGGTGAGAGTCTCAGGTGACAGATGCTCACTTTGAATGTTATTTGCAGTGAGGCTTATCATTCTTTAATCCACAGCAGGCAAACTGGCCAGCTTTTGAAGGAGAGGAAATGAAAGTGTCAAATTGCATTCTCTCCAAGTTGCAGTAGACTCACTTACTAAGCAGGTCAAATCGCTTGTCCCACCTCTTCCCAGCTGACTTGTTTTGAAGAGTTGCACCTCCTTTGAAGGCTAAAGCCAAAAGAGTGCTTGTTGAAGGGGGATTTCATTTCCTGGGGGTTAGGAGGCAGGAACTCGGCTTCCTTTCCTAGTCTGCTTTTCTCTGTGTGCTCCCTCCAGATCCCCTCAGGCCTCTTTATCCCCAGCATGGCTGTGGGAGCCATGGCAGGCAGGATGGTGGGAATTGGTGTGGAGCAGCTGGCCTACCATCACCATGATTGGATAATCTTCAGGAACTGGTGCAGACCTGGGGCAGACTGTGTCACACCAGGACTTTATGCAATGGTGGGAGCTGCTGCCTGCCTAGGTATGTCTACAAGTGGGGAGGGAGGGAGTGGCATGCTGATCTGACTTAGAGGACCAGCATGAAGGAAGACAGGGACTTGGTCATTGGGATTACTCAGGATAGGCTAGGTTATGCTGCAGTAACAAGTAAGCTACATCTCAGTGGCTTAACACAGTGTTATATATCTTGCTCACAGCATTTATACACACACACACACACACACACATAGATAACATATATATTATATATACATGTATGTGTGTTCATAAGAGTCTTTTCCACCCAGTCATTCAGAGGACCAGGCTGATGGAGCTTCGATTCTTTTAAAGCTGTACTAGCTAGAACAATGATTCTCAGCCAGTAATTCTGATGTCTTGGGACACCTGGCAATGCCTAGAGACATTTTTGGTTATCACAAATGGGGGTGCCACTCATATATAGTGAATAAAGGCCAAAGATACTGCTAAACTTGCTTCAGTGCATGGGACAATCCTGATAACAAGGAATGTCCTTAGTATTGAGTTCAAAAAACACTGGTTTAAGTTTATTGGATTAGTTGTTGGTTTGGATTGTCTCTTTAAATACCAAGGGATACAAAGTTGGGTCTGTCCCTAGTTTGATAACCCTAAGAATTTCTACAGTTTTCCAGATTATGGGTGCTTGCTCAATTGGAAGCCTATATAGCCCATGTAGGATCCACTCACCAAAAACCCAAGCATGTGCCCCTAGTCAGGTTACTTCCAGTTCCCTGATGCCAGGCCAAATTAGAATAAATATGAGGAGAACTGGAGTCTTATTTCTCTTAAGGAAAACTTGGAGACTTGGATTGAGCTGCATTTGGGGGTTGTGAGCCTGTCAGTTTTCACAAATTGTGCCCTAATAAGGGCTTTGGATTGAGTCCAAGAATTGCACTCCTCTCCTCTTCCATTGCAGGTGGAGTTACCAGGATGACAGTGTCACTGGTGGTCATCATGTTTGAATTAACTGGTGGTCTAGAGTACATCGTGCCCTTGATGGCAGCAGCTGTGACCAGCAAGTGGGTGGCCGATGCTTTTGGGAAAGAAGGCATCTATGAGGCCCACATCCACCTGAATGGGTACCCATTTCTTGACGTGAAGGATGAGTTCACCCACCGCACCCTGGCCACTGACGTGATGCGGCCCCGGCGGGGAGAGCCACCACTGTCGGTGCTCACCCAGGACAGCATGACCGTGGAGGATGTGGAGACACTGATTAAGGAGACAGACTACAATGGCTTCCCAGTGGTGGTCTCCAGAGACTCTGAGCGTCTCATTGGGTTCGCCCAGAGGAGGGAGCTGATCCTGGCCATAAGTGAGTAAGGAGAGGGAAGATCACTTTTTACTGAGATGATTGGATGGCAGCGTTTGTACCCCTAGAAGTATTAAAGGAGTTTGAGTGAGTGTTCTTTAAGCCAGGGGCTGTGAAGCTTCAGTGCAGATCTGGCACCTGGGATCTGGTTAAAATGCAGATTCTGATTGAGCAGGCCTGGGTGGGGCCTGAGACTCTGCATTCCTCCAGAGCTCCCCAAGTCACACTGTGAGGAGCAAAGGTTTAAGCCCACACCCTGGGATAGACATACTTGGTTGGAAATTGACTTCCATGTGTGCAGGCAGCCATCAGGGCCCCACTACTACTAGGAGGCAAGCTGTTTGCCACTGCATTTTAAAGAAGTTATTTGGATGAAGTTGAGCAGGAAGTGATAATGTGAGAGCCTGGAGTTGCCCAGGCCAAGCTGATCTCAAAGATGGGCTTTCAGGCAGGCTACCCAGCTGACTTAGGTGCTGAGTACTCTGCCTCTGATACCTGGCTGGCCCCTGCTCAAGTCTTTGCTACAGTGTATAACATATGTCCCACTCCACCAGTTAGAAGTCCATGTGGTTTAACTAGTAATATCATTAGAAATCAGTTCTATGTAATCATTTTCTCCTCATGTTTGAACTGATATTAGCTGCCCTAAGAGGTAGGCTGTGGAACTGGGGTAGGAGAGAAAGGGATGATTCATGGCCAGGTGGAGTGTCCAAAGACAGGCACCTCAGAGAACCAATCTGTGGGCCTCAAGTAGCCTAAGGATGGCTGCAGTAGAGAGGGAGCAGAAGGTGGGAGGATTCCAAAGACAGAGGGAACTGAAGGCCAGAGACTTGGGAGAGAATTGTACGGAGCCCAAGGCAAGTAGGGGTAGTGAGCCTTGGAGGGGTGGAGTCCTGTCAACCTCAAGATGCAGCAGGGTGAGGGATCAGCATAGTGCATCTCCTGCATAAGGTGAGCACCATGCCCCCACACCCAGCATCCTTGCTCCATGATCTGCACAGCTTCCCTACATCCCATGATAGACTGGGGCCCATGGCATGGCTCATGTTACTCTCCCTTACACCTTCTAGAGTGTTCCTTATAGTCACTGGGACTTTCTTTCCCCAATTGCCCCACTGAGAACACATCTTCACCAGACAATTGCTTCCCCCCAACCCGCCCTTTGTTCCTGTTTCTAAGGCACTTCCCTTCAATTTCTAAAACCTCTTCCCTATGTTAAATAGCTTTAAAGTATCTTCCTCAAAGGCTTTATAAAAATTAGTTTAGATAAGCTATACCCTCTAATTTTAGTGTGCCGCTCAAGCATGTTTAGCTCCCCCAAACCAAAGATTGATTTTACATTTTAGACACCATAGCAAGTTTGTGCTCGAAAGCTCAGTGATGCTTCGCTTTATTATAGGTCCTGTCACAGAACAGGTAGTGCCTTTAGGGGTAAATATTGCCTTACAAATAGTGAATTTTTAAAAGTTGTTTAAGTAGGGCTGGGTTTGTTTTAAAATAATGTAATCAGCAGCCTTTAAAAATTTATTCAATCCCTAAAATCTTTTAAGCAAAGGTTGAAATTTAGAAACTAAAGCAATAAATGTCACAGAATCCATTACCTATTGTGTAGCCCCAGGCACACCTGCTAAGAGACAGCTTACTAATTTTGCTGAAATCCATTACTGTAATCAAGTGGGAAGCAGTAATTGGCATCAACCAGTTAGAGAAGAAATTGAAGCTTTGCAAGCGAGCACTCTCTCACAAGCTATGTTTGGAATGTCTGAAGAGGCACCATGCAGTGTAAATAATACCTCTATGCTTTCAATCAGTCCCATAATAGTGTAGAAGCTGTTATTTACACAGTTTGTGGAAAGGCGAGGGGTGTTTTGCTCTGAGGAATCAGAGAAGCTGTTTTCCTGATCTGTGGAAATAGAAGAGTCACTGTATTTTCATGGAGAAATTCATGAGACCTATATTTGAGGAATTATGTGCTCTCTTATGAATATAGAAATATGACATTAGCACTCAGTTAAAAACTATTCCATGTCAATTTCATTTTTAGGGGAATTGGGGGCAAAGGTTATGGCAGGATAGATCCAAGGTAATTATGATAAGGAAAGAATGCTAAATGAGGAAAATAAGGATTTTTCTTACTTGTCATATTTTAAGTTGTAGCAGCTGCTCATGTGGAGCCGAAAATCTTTTGCCAGTTTTTAGTCCATCTGTGGAATGCCAAGGTGCAGCCATTGTCTTTGTTAGTGAGTGATAGTTAGCATCACCTGGGCAAGGTGGCTGTCTTTGGCATCACAAATTACTAACAGGCAGGACCGTAGGTGACCCTTGTTCAAATTCCTGGTAAATGGGCCTTTACCTTGCCTTACTCTTTGCAGATATGAGGCTCTTTCTGTCTTGAATTTTGCAATTAAGCCAGTAAGGGTTCAGAGAGGCCTCAATGGGAAGCCACAATGATGATTAAAGGGATGGAAAGCTGGAGTTACGGGGAAGAATTGAGGGACCTCTCAATTTTTTCGTCTGGTGGATGACTTAATAATGATTCTCCAACATATGGAAGATGCTTACTTGCAGAAAGGGATCTCCATCCAGGACTGAACCAGAAGATAAGTGTCAGATCTGTCTGATGAGCTATTTAGGGTTAAAGAGGTTTTTGCCTGGGAGGGCTGTTAATTATTCTAATGGGTCATAGAGAAAAGTGGTGTCAACTACTCTCTGCAGAGGATGTTAAAATATAATGCAGAGGGTCTTTTTCATGCCTTAGTAGATAATAACTTGTCAAATATTCTACTTTTTCTTCTCTATAGCCTTTATATTTTTTATATCATCTTTGTACTAACCAGCATAGTGGTTGCTTCCAGCTTTCTATTTTAGCCTTTCTCATTAATTGCATCTGTCTTATGGAAGCATTTATTTTATTTTATTTATTCTAATTTGTTATATATGACAGAAGAATGCAATTTAATTCATACTACACAAATAGAGCACAATTTTCAAGTCTCTGGTTGTACACAAAGTAGAGTCACACCATTTGTGTTTTCATATATGTACTTAGGGTAATGATGTCTGTATTATTCCACCATCTTTCCTACCCCCAGGCCGCCTCCCTTCCCCTCCCTCCCCTTTTCCCTATCTAAAGTTCATCTATTCCTCCCATGCTGCCTCCTAATCCCCACTATGAATCAGCATCCTTATATCAGAGAAGACATTCAGCATTTGGTTTTTTGGGATTGGCTTACTTCACTTAGCATTATATTCTCCAACTCCATCCATTCACCTGCAAATGCCATGATTTTATTCTCTTTTAATGCTGAGTAATATTCTATTGTGTATATATACTTCATTTTCTTTATCCATTCATCTACTGAAGGGCATCTAGGTTGGTTCCACAATTTAGCTATTGTGAATTATGCTGCTATAAACATTGATGTGGCTGTGTCCCTGTAGTATGTTGTTTTTAAGTCCTTTGGGTATAAACCAAGGAGTGGGATAGCTGGGTCAAATGGTGGTTTCATTCCAAGTTTTCCAAGGAATCTCCATACTGCTTTCCTTTTTGGCTACCCCAATTTGCTGTCCCACCAGCAATGTATGAGTGTGCCTTTTTCCCTACATTCTCACCAACACTTATTGTTGTTTGTATTCTTAATAGCTGCCATTCTGACTGGGGTGAGATGAAATCTTAGAGTGGTTTTGATTCCCATTTCTCTAATTGCTAGAGGTGTTGAACATTTTTTTAAATATATTTGTTGATTGATAGTATGCCATCTTCTGAGAAGTGTCTGTTCAGTTCCTTGGCCCACTTATTAATTGGGTTATTTGTTTTTTTGGTGTTAAGATTTTTTGATTCTTTATATATACTAGAGATTGTGCTCTATCTGATGTGAATGTGGTAAAAATTTGCTCCTTATGGAAGCATTTTTAATGAATGGAATGATAGAGCATTTCCTCCCTAAAAACATATGTACTCTAGAGGTCCTCAGCCTTAACACTATTGACATTTGGAGCCGGATCTTTCTCTATGGTGGGGACTGTCCTGTTTATTATAGGATGTTGAGCAGCATCCTTGATCTCAACCCATTAGATACCAGTAGTTTCCCAACTGTGACAACCAAAAATGTCTCCAGATATTTTCAAAAGTCCCCTGAGGGTAGGGGTAGAGTTGCTCCCAGTTGAGAACCATTGCTCTAAAGCCACTTAATAACTTCCAGTATGTGTGAAGATTGTTTCCAATTTTCAAAAATTTCTTGACCTATCATAGTTTATGAAATCCATCTCACTAGCATTTTATCAACTACTTTCTTTGCCTCTGGTGTTACTGCTGCTAGAAACTGGAATGGGAAGTTGAATAACCTTAGTGGGAGCTCATTAAATGTATATCATTTTTCGGGAAATGTGACCACTGAGGCTAGTTCTAGCACAATATATTATAAGTCTTTCAACTAAAAACATTTAAAAAATAATTGATCTACTTGAACTTTAAAATATTTTAAAATAATGTATTACATTTTTAATGTAAAAGTAATACACACTCATAGACTATTAGAAACATTTAAAAAAGATACTATGTTAGTTTTTGTTACTGTGACAATACCTGACATGAACATTAGGGGAGAAAAGGTTTATTGTGGCTCATAGTTTCAGAAGTTTCAGTCTATGGTCCGTTAGCCATTTCTTTGGACTTGAAGTGAGACAGAATATCATGGTGGAAGAAAGCTTTCAGCTCATGGCAACCAGGAAGGAGTAGGGGTGGGCAAGGGCCAGGGACAAGATATAGTCCCAAGGGCATGCCTCCAGTAACCAACTTCCTCCAACTAGGCCCCACCTCTCAATCATTTCTGAATTATTAATTCATCAAATGGATTAATCTACCAATAAATTTAGAGCCCTCATGATCTAATCATTTCATAAAAGTCTCACCTGTGGGCATGAAGTTTTTAAGTCCCTGGGCCTTTTGGGGGACATTCTAGATTCAAACCCTAATTGGCACCAACATTCTCACCTCTCTAGAGGCCATGGTTCATATTCAGTACATTCTTCCTTGTCTTTCAGGTCTTTTAAAAATGTGTATTTTGTGTTATATTTTTAAAAATTCTTTCCCAACTTGGGCTCCCCAAAGTTTCTGGGGTCTGTGAGTCTGTTTTCTCATGGCACTGGCTTATCCCCTGGGTGAGGAGTTGGTTTATTTTTTCATGCAGGAGATATATATTGAGCATTCATGGCTTTTGCAAGTGTTTGGTGACTGATGAATATTTCTGGTGCAAACTAGGAGTTGACTCCAATAGAGAGTTGCATAGAGCTTTCTTGCTGGTTTTTCTTCCATTCATCAGCTTTTATTTTGTATGTAGCACCTCCACCTCCAACATTTGAAGGCTTAATATAAGTCTTTATAATACAGTTCCAAAGAAACCTAGCAAAGCCCTTCTGCAGAGAGTAGCAGTTGTCACTTAAAGTAGCCATCTTAGATCTCCAACTCTGACCCTAGCTGATGCCTGTGATCTTTGCTTGGTAGTAAATAGCTCATGGGCTTTCTTTCCTAATGAATGTTCCATGAAATAGGCTCTGTTCTCCATGATATAAGAACCAGATACACTGATATTTAGGAGACTGACTCATTCATGCATGCATGCATGTGACAAATATTTGTTTGTGTCTCCCATGTGCTAGGCATTGTTCAGGCAGTGGGAGTTCACTGGCGTGTAAGAGTTCACTGAGTGGAGTGGCTGCTAGAATCAAGGTTTCTGGCCCAATCCGTAGATTCAGAAGAAATATAACTTTGTTGTCTATTTTAGCAACTGGATATATGTCTTGCTAAGTTGTATTTGGTTTTATAAGGGGTTGAGCAAATCCATGTGATCAGTTCTTGATTGGGGTTTGTGGCTTGATTCAATCCTGTTGTTCAGTCTGATCATTGAAATAGATAAAAATCCTGTTATGTGGAACTTTAAGAGAATCAACTGGTCTATGGAAAGAAGCATATAAATATGTGTTGGCTGTTGCCTCCCTGCCCTGGTGTGGAGGATAGAACCCTCTTGATTTAGGAGAACATGCAGAGTGTGTCAGGCAGGATCTGCATTTGAAAACATGTGCGTCAGTGTCGTCTGGTATTTGTGGTTGAATCATATCCCACTTGATGTAACTAGATTTAACCTGACCCATATAATGTGCAGGCATTTGCCCAGCAGGCTCTCTATTCCTCTTTTCAACAGAGACCCTTTTTCAGACTCAGCCTGACCCCAAATGCTGCCAGCTTTCCATTAGAGTGCTCTATTGCACTAAATGGCCTTAGAGGAGGTAGTTCGAATTTTATTTTTGAAAGAACAATATAGGTGAATAGTAGTCTTTGACAAGGCAAGAAATGTATTATAGAAACCAGGATTCATTTTAAAGCAGGCCCTGCTGTACATTTTCCCTAACCTTTTCCCACGAACCAAAAGAAAGATTAAAATTCCAACAGAAGGAAAATCGCCTTGGAGAAATATCTTGAGACCGATGGATTTGTTTCATGTGTGACTTAAAATAGCCTGGGTTTCTAGCACTGCATTAAGCTGTATTTCTAATGAGTTCCTGTTACCCTACTTTTCTTCAGCTTCACATGGCTTTGCCTACAGACAGAAATAGACTAATTGCTACCATAACAGTTTTACTATCTTTCTTTGAGAAATCTACAAAATGGCCCATTTTTAAGAGAGGAGATCCAAGGAGTGGGGGGGATGCAGCTTTTCTGGGGTTGTTTCTTTGGTCCCAAGGGTCATATTTGGGATTGAGCTGCATTTCTGGGCTGTGAGCCTGGGCTGGTCTTATTGGTTTCTTGTTCCTCTTAGGATTCATAATGCCATTTAGGCCAGTTGTAAGTTAGTTTGTAAAAAATGGTGTTTTAAGGTCACTGGGTAGCTAAATGTGGTTTCTTGTCATGACAAACTTTAGTCCATGATGAGGTGAAGGAGTGTTTGGAAAGCAAGAATGAAGGGTTCTGGGCTGTTTGGGGTGCTCTGGAGTGCAGGAGAAAGCAGTGAATATCCCCAAAGGAACCATGTTGGTCAGGCCCATCTTGTAAGGCATCGGCAATGAATGGTCTGGTCACAGCAGGGGGGGCCTCACACAGCATTAGCTTACAGAAATGCCAATTTCACAGATGTTTGGCTGAATCCCCTCATTAAGAATGTGTCATTTGCCCTTGAACCCCTTTTCTGTGGGATTCTGGGATGCTGTGTGGGGGATGGTAGGAGGGTAGTTAAGAGAAGAATTTACATGTGGCTTATTGTTCCTACTTACCCCATTCTAGAGAATGCCAGGCAGAGGCAGGAGGGCATCGTGAGCAATTCCATCATGTACTTCACGGAGGAGCCCCCTGAGCTGCCAGCCAACAGCCCACACCCCCTGAAGCTGCGTCGCATCCTGAACCTCAGCCCTTTCACGGTTACAGATCATACACCTATGGAGACAGTGGTGGACATTTTCCGGAAACTGGGGCTCCGGCAGTGCCTGGTGACTCGGAGTGGGTGAGTAGGTGGACCAGTATAAACAGAACATGTACTGTGGCCAGACTTGGGAGAAAAAGATGACTAAGACCTGGTCTCTACCTTTAAGGAACTCAACCATCCACTGGGACAGACCTGTCCTTGACAGGAGATGCCAATAAGCTGTGATGAATGTATGGAGAAGTAAATGTAGAGGGAGCTTTGGAACTTAGAGCAAGGTGGCCAGTGCAGCCTGGAAAGGTAGAGGAAACTTCCAGGTTAGACTACTCTCTGGGCTCAGCCTGAGGGTTGAGTCAAAAGGGGAGGAGCCAGAGGAGAAGGGCTTGGTGTTGCTTTTTCTACTGCCATATGACATTTGGGTTATGGAAGAAGGTACAGCTAGTTCTGTTGTAATGTAACATATGTTCCTCAAAACCACAGAGCTATCCAAAATAGAGCAGTGAAAACCATAGGACCTATGGGAAAAATGGAATTAGATACATGATATTCAAAAATTTCATTAGTAATATACTTTTTAAAAATGAGCTAGGCATGGTGGCACATGCCTGTAATCTCAGTGACTCAGGAGGCTGAGGCAGGAGGATCATGAGTTCAAACCCAGCCTTGGCAACTTAGTGAGGCCCTAAGCAACTCAGCAAGACTCTGTCTCTAATAAAATACAAAAAAGGAAAAAATATATAAAAGGGCTGGGGATGTAGCTCCATGGTTAAGTGCCCATGGGTTCAATCCCTGGTACCAAAAACAAAACAAAACAAAACAAAACAACCCCCCCAAAAAAACTGAGATAAGAACACAATAAAAATGGTAGTTTTACAACATTTTGCACATGTTAAATGGTTAGGAAATATTTGAATATGACAATATGTCACTTAACCTTGAAAAAGACCTGAACTTGACTGTGGAACAGACATCTGAAGGACTACATCTTGTGACTTGGAATAGGGGCAGTTATCACAGCTAGATGGATGGCTGTGGCTTCTCACATTCACGTGAACTGAAACAGTGTGTTCAAGGGGTGTGCATATGTGCACTTTGTGTCCTCCAATGCTGCTGGGTTCAGCTGGGTGCTACTGTCTGTGCTCTCCTGGTTTCTCATGGATGAAATCACACACGAGCAAATGCAAAGTCCATGTTATACTCAGGTCATTCCCAGTGTGAAACAATGTCATCTTTGCCAAACAAATGGTATTGGAGAATGAGATATTAGATAGCCTCTTGGCATTGTTTCTGCTATCATGCTCTATAGTGTGTGTGTGTGTGTGTGTATGTGTGTGTGTGTATGCACACGTGCATGTGCATGTGCTACTGGGGATTGAATCCAGGGGTGCTTTACCACAAAACTACATCCCCAGCTCTTTTTATTTTGAGGCAGGGTCTCACTAAGTTGCCTAAGCTGGCCTTGAACTTGAGATTCTCTTGCCTCAGCCTCCCAAGTCACAAAGATTATAGGTGTGCACCATTGTACCCAGCCATGCAATTACTTTTGTTTTGTATTATTACAAACCAGTAAAGTATCAATAAAAAAGTCAAAGCACTACAACAGTGCTGGAGGTGCAGTTCTCCAAGGGCCATTCTTTTGTCTCAACATGTACCCCAAGTTCCATAGTTTCAGAAGCTTGGGTAGAGAAAGGGACTGGCTTGGTCTGCATGTCCTGGAACTTAAGTTATCAGTCTATTTCATTCCTTCTAAGCTGGGTGCTGGCAATGAGGGAATGGGTTTTGGTGATGATGATTTAGGCCTTTATAGAACCAAGAGGCTTAACTAAAGTAGTTTACATTTCTGAAGGCAGTACACTCTAGTTTAACTTAGTAGTTCTCAACAGGGGTGGTTTTGTCCCCTAGAGATGTGGGACAATGACTAGGGGCAATGTCAGATATCACAACTAGAGCGAGAGGTGCTATTGTCATCTGGTAGGTAGGGAACAAGGATGCTGCTAAACATCTGGAATGCCAAGGCAGCCCTCATCATCATCAACAACAACAACACAATGTGGCCCAAAAACGTTCACTTGATATTGTGGTTGAGTGACCCTGATCCTGGACTGGATGTTATGGCTAAGCAAATAAGCAATCCTATCCATTCAGCTTTTTGCCTGCTGTGTTAGTAACAGGGATATAGGCTCTGCAAGAGATGAAATGTGCACAATCACCCAGAGAACTCCTAGCTGGCAGGAAGTATGTCCTTAGCTCTAACTGCAGCCAGAAGGGCATCTTGTACATGGGAGGTGCAATTAATAGGGAACAAACAAATTGGTCCTTGTATTTGAAGCTAGAGGTCATTTCTGCCAGAGAATGTTAAAGGAGCTTTGTAATTTCTCAAAGTTGAGCCTGCCCTAAGAATGGCCTGGCAGATTAAACCTCCAGGTTAAACCCAGTTTGCTGGGGTCCACTGCAGAGCTGCTGATCCCTGAGGTCTCAGGTAAGACCTGAGAATGTGCATTTCTAACAAACTCTCAGATAAGGCTGCTGGTCTAAGGACCCCAGTTTGAGAACTGCTGAAGTTGATTTCTGCATTTAGATTTCCAGCTCTTGGCATAAATACCACTGTGATCACCCTTGCCATTTCAAGTGTATAGCAGTTTCTTCTTTCCTTTAAAATAATAATCCAATGTCAGTTTTCATTGGAATTTCCAGTGTGGGCAGGAAATTCTGCCTTAACACCCACTCTCACCTCACAGAGCCCCATGAGGCTTTCCTGAGAAGATCTGGGTGCCGAAGTTGGCTCCGAATGTTCTGTGAGAAAGCAAAATCATTCTCTCTGGCTCTACATATTTTAAACAAACACAGATGCTGCTACGTTAGTGCTGGCAAGGGATCCTTGTTTGCGGGGCCTTTCATCTTCATCTCCTCGGGCTTTCAGCCAGAGTGAGCCCATCTCAAGCCAGCTCGCGTTTTTGATGCGTTCCCTCACCATGTGCCTTCCCTGCTCAAGATGGCTGAGAGCCTGGGCCTGTTCCTTGACCTGGTTCATCTTCAGGATTTCTCAGGGCCTGGGGCCTAAAATAATCATAAAACCAGACCAGAATCCAGAGGAGTTTTGTCCCCAAAATGCAGGAGTCTAGGAAGCCTCCAGTGACTAAGAGCAAATTTGGGTAAGATTTGCCCTGTGAAGGTTCTAGAAAGGAAAAGCAACTAGAGGAGATGGTGGCAGATTTCCCCCAAACCCTACTAGGGGTACATTGGGTCTGGTTAGGTTAGATTTCTCAGAAGAGCCTAGCTGCTCAAATCTGAATTATGTTCTTGGTCGTTATCTAGCCATTTATGATTCACTGAATTCACTTGATCTAAATTTAAATCAAAGAGAACACTTCAAACCACTAATGAAGTCAACAGGATTTGATGTTGCCTCTTTTTGGGTTGATGTTTAGCTTTCTTCTATTGTAATAATTACTCTTGTAGGCCCCTGGCACAATTTATGCCCACACCCAAGTCAGCACCTGAATTAATAGTTTCTCAATGTCATTGTACCTAACATAACTTTCAGACAGAGGAAGTGAAAAGGTTTTTGGAATTGTAAATGCTTGGTTTTTGGTTTTTGATGTGAGGTCTCTGTGTTGCCTGGTTGGGCCTGAACTTCTGGACTCAAGTGATTCTCCTGCTTTAGCCTCCTGAGTAGCCAGGAGAACAGGCCTCTGCCACAGCATCTGGCTATGCCTCATCTTTTGATACTGTCTCCAGAATAAAGACAAGGAAATGAAACCCAGGCTTTATAGATATGGGAGGGGGATGTGTGGATGCATGTTGTATTTTAGTAGAGTTCTTATCTTTGCAAATATGACACTAGTAGTCATTTTTTTTGAAGAGACATTGGTGTAATCAATATTTTACTGAGCATCTATTTTGGCTGAGGGTTGGGGAGGATCAGGAAGTGTTTTTAAAAGAAGTCAAGGAGCCTGTTATCTGCTAAGGAACATGGACACAATTCAATGTAATTGATGCTACCCAAAGCAGGTGTTCCTGAGGAGAGTGTCCTAAAGCAGGCTTTCCAGTAGAAAATAGATGGCAGAAGCTGAATGAGTGGTTTTAAATTGAGGGTCTGTCCGTTAGTCCATCAGCTGCAGAGCCCCTCCCACTGCCTAACAACCCCTGTGGGTGCTCTGTGTGTGAGCTGATCTGTTTGTATCTGCTGTGATTTCACTCCTGATCACATCTTGCTTAGCAGCATATTATAAGTATAAGCTGCTGGCCTTATAACTGTCACTTTTTTTAATTTTGAAAAAACTATCAAAATCCCAAACCTTGTGAATGCTCGCATTTTTACACTTCCATTTACTGTTCTCTTGCCCTTCATTTTTATGCATTCTGCAAGAGGTCAGAGAATTCTTTGACCTTCCCTGTGTTTCTGTCATCTAGCATCTGAAGGGTCATTGTATAGCCCCTGCGGTCCTGCCTTTATTTTTATACTGATTTATTTATTTTACAGCTTATTGAGATAATTCACATACCATACAATTCACCTATGTAAAATGTTTAAGTCGGTAGTTTTAGTAAAAAATGAATTATGTATCCATTGCTACCATCAACTTTAGAATATTTCTATTACACTATAAAGAAACCCTGTACGCCTTAGCTGTCACCTCCCCAGCCCTAGGCAACAACTAACCTACTCTCTGTCTCTGTGGATTGTTCCCTATTGGATCTTGTGAGTAAATGCAGTCATCTCCTATGTGGTCTTGTGGCTGGCCTCTTTTACTCAGCAGAGTATTTTCACAGTTCATCCATGTTGAAGCCTGTAACAGTACTTCATTCTGATTATGGCTGAATATCATTTGTTGTATGGATAGACCACATTTTGTTTATTCATTCTTCTATTGATGGACATTTGGGTTGTTTCTACTTCTTGGCTGTTATAAATAATACTGTTACGAATAAGACTTGTGTGCAGGTTTTTGTGTGAACATATATTTTCATTTCTCTCAGAGTGGAATTGCAGAGTCATGTGGTAAGTCTATGTTTAACTTTGTTTCCTTCCTTCCTTCTTTCCTTCCTTCCTTCAGAGATATAATTCATATACCATATAATTTGCCATCTTAAAGTATATAATTCAAGGGTTTTTGATACATTCTCAAAGTTGTGTTAACAATTGCTTTGTTGTAAATCCAGAACATTTTCATCACCCCCTAAACCCTTTTCCCATTAGCAGTTACTTCCTATTCCACCCTTCCCCCAGCCACTGTCAACCACTAATCTACTTTCTGCCTCCATGGATTTGTCTATTCTGGATACTCATGATATATGTGGCATTACATGATATGTCACCTTTTGTGATTGATCCTTTTATTTAGCATAGCTTTTTCAAGGTTCACCCAAGTTGTAGCAAGTGTCAATACTTTTTATGGTTAAATAGCACTCCAATGTATGGATGTTTATCAATTCATTAGGAGATGGACATTTAGGTTCTCTTTACTTTTTGAATGAGAATATGAGACCCTAAGAAGTAAAACACTTAAGATCAAAGGGAATTGGGTACAGAGCCAGTCCTATCTGGAGATCTACCAAGGACCTTTGGTGGAGGACCCTGCCAGTCAAACCAGAACCCAGAGGACATCAATGTTCTCTACACAACAGCAGAGGGGAAGTAGACTGGGGGCAATTTGAAGATACCCAACATCATCTGTGAAGATGCACAATCCTGAACTATTGGAATACCTGTTCAGTGAAATGTTGAGAATGTAGGGCCAAGTCCTGGGGTTTCTACTTTCAATACCGATGGCTTATTATATATTGAGCCCCAGAGGGCCTCTCTTATTTGAAAGATCCCAGCTAGGGGTGATATTGTAAGTGTTTAAGAGTTGGTGCCAGATAGTAACACTTGGGATGAGATTAGTGGAGTTACAGAAGTAAGATGAGTGTATTAGGGTATATTTTAGGGGATTTGCTTCATTGTCTATAAACCAATGGGTATGGAAATATTTCAGTACTTTTTAAATTGGGGCAGTGGTTCTTGACAAGAGGTGATTTTGACTTCCATCTGTACAATGCATTTGGCAGTGTCTGGAGAAATTTTGGATGTTACAACTGGGGAGCAATGGTACTGATGACATGTTGTGAGTAGAGGCCTGGGTATTATAAAGGACAGCCCACCCCCAACAAAGATTGATCCAGTCCCAACTGTCACTAGTGTCAAGGCAGAGAAACCTTGAGTAAATACTTCCTAGGGCACAGAGAGAGAGCATCCTATAGAACCAGATTAGGACTCATTTGGCTGCTGTCACATAGGAATCCTTACTAGGGACTCTCATTTGTCTTTAAATAAGGCCCCTTCCCAGTATTAGAGTCACCTTTCCTTGCTATCACTGCTCCATTAAAATTAATTATTTTCATGAGAACAAGAACAGAATGTATCTGTCCCCAAGAATAAACCTCCTTTATTTACCTGGACCTCCAAGCCTTTGCCATGCCTTGGATCTGGAGGCCTGGGCAACTCTTCTCAGCAGCCATATGTGGCTGCCAAGGCAAAAGGGAAGCTCTGATGAGATAGAGGCTCACTAAAGCTTCCATAGAAGCCAGGTGAATTGACAAAGTATTGGGTAATAGTGCTCTTGAGAAAATGTTTAGCTCTCGTTGAATGAATGCAGTGGACCCTTATTATGGCAGTTGACCCCCAAGTAACTAAGACAAATCAGGATGGAAAAAGGGGGGTTTTGGAACCACCAGCTCGACCCAGCATTATTCCAGTGCATGAAGACCAGATCCCTTATTGGGTCCTGATCCCCTCAGATGGGTTTTCCTGGAAGAACCCAGCATCTCACTACAGAGAATGATAATGTTCATTTCTTTTGGGGTCATCTTATTCAGGATTATACCAACATTTTGGGGGAACAAACTAGGTCTATTTAAATCAGTTGTATACATCTTACGTGTTTTAGAATTTCTCATGGTCTAGAAAGAGAAATATTCTAAGGGTGCTGTTTTACAACTGTTTAATGCAGAGGCAGCTGAACAGCTGTTATGGGCCGAATTGTGCCCCCCACTTCTAAATTCCTATGTTGAAGCTGTAAGCCCCAGCATGATTGTATTGGGACACAAGTCCTTTAAGGAGGTAATTAAAGTTAAATGAGGCCATTGGGGCAGGACCCTAATCCAGTAGGACTGGTGTCCTTGTAAGGAGAGGAAGAGACACAAGGAGTCTATGTGCACAAAGAGGCCATGTGAAGACACAGAAGATGACTATGTTCATCTCTAAGCCAAAGAGAGAGAGAAACTGGTCCTGCTGGCACCTTGATCTGACACTTTGAAAAAATAAATTCTTTTGTTTAAGCCACCTCATCTGTGGTATTTTGTTACAGCAGCCCAGGCTGACCAACACAGAAATGCAGTTTGGCAGATTTGGTGGAACAGCATCTTGTTTTATGGGGCATCTTCAATTTTACTGCGTTGTGATACATTTTAGAGATGTATTTAAAATAATGCATTATGACCATAAAGTCAAGAAGCCCTAAAGAGCTTGAGTGAAAACCCACAATTCCTGGCTCTGTCCACCTTCACCACCCCTCCACTTGTTTTAGGTGACCCGTGGTATTTAGCATGCTTTTAAAGACCCCTCTTGCTATTTCCTCTGTCCTAAAGATGTTCCTGTGGGATGAATGGGGAAGGGCCAGTGTTTCTTGTCTTCCCTAGTGGGACAGATGGAAAAACTCACCTAAGAAATGAATCCCATTTTCAAGATTGTTTAAGGTTCAATGTGGTCAGAGTCAAACAAGTCCGGATTCTAGCCTGTTTCTCTCCAGGTGTAACTGATTTGAACACCCCTTTGAATCATTTTATCTCTTCTTCATAGTCACTGTCTATAAGCAAAAGGTGACTCTGGCTAACTGGACCTTAATTAAAGAAATGATGTTAGATTACACTTGTGTTTTCTGATTCTTTTTTGGTATGCCATCATTTTACAAAGACATAGAATAGAAACCTGTCATTTTAATAGCTATACAGTATTCCAAGGTGAGACTGCCATGGATTTCTTCCTCATTACTCCCTCCTTTTGGGGTGTATATGTGTGACAGAGACACAGTGAACAGTAATTTGCAAACTTATTTGGCAATGGAAATTTTTCTCCAAAGAAGTTGTGCACATTGTCTTCTGTCAAACCTTTTACTGTATCCACGGTGCATAATTTATTCCTTCAGGTTGTCCTTTAAATTTTTAATAAAATAACAAAACAAGGGTTGCTGTGAATGGTTGTACAAATGGGCACTGCCCGATATAGGGAGTACTGTTTACATTGTGGTGTGTGTGAGAGTGCTCCCCGGGATTGTGTGATGTACAGTTGAGGTGACCCTAATCAAGGGACCCTGGTAAGTGCCATTCTTTTGATCAGTTGAAAGCAGTGGATTTTGGAAGGGGAGGCAATTTCCATACAGGGTCAGAGATGAATGTTATTCTTTACCCTTCTAGTAAGATAAAATTAAAAATATAATAATTTATCTCATTCCTAACATTTCTTTTACTTAAAATGTCTTACACTTGGAATTTCTGTGGTGTGGTCAGCTTTCAACAATGGCTTTCATGAGCACTTTTAAAATTGATTATATTATTGAAATTTAAGAGAGTGTATTAGTCATTGTAGTTTTATTGTAACAACAAACAAGCTTGCAATCTCAGTGGTGTAATGAAATAAAGGTTATTTTTCTCACAAGTCACATCTTACCATATTTCAGTGCATAATCATTGTGGATTTTATGCAAACATATTTTGCAAAAAAGTGGGGGTGACCTTTAAGAAAAAATTGTGCCAGTATTACTTAAAAATCATTTATTATTAAACTTCCTTTGGTGCAATATTAGGATGCCCAGAATACTCGTGAATATGTGTTAATGTGGTAGCAATGATTATGCACTGCAATATGGTAAGCAATTTGCAGGTGTGGGCTCAACCACATAGTCACTCATGGCCCCAGGTCTTTGAATCTGGTGGCTCTTAAGTCAGACCTCTGTTCTCCAGAGTCTTTTTACTGGCTCCTTTGCCTCTGACTACCAGATGAGAAGGAATGAGGAGAAATGTGTAGGAGACCTGGGAGTGGCATCTGTTACCTTCACCCATGGACCAAGGGTCAGACAGAGCTCACTCCATTGGCCCTACCCAACCACAAGGGAGACTGGTAGGCTGGTAAACTTTACCTATCCTTGTCCCTCAGTGAAAATGGCACTAGGGATTAGGGACAGGGATGAGTCCATATTGTAATGCTGACCTCTTTTTTTTAATTTTCTTTCCATTTCAGGAGACTTCTTGGCATCATCACAAAAAAGGATGTTCTGAGACACATGGCCCAGATGGCAAACCAGGACCCCGAATCTATCATGTTTAATTAGCAACAAGAGAGCAATTTTGAGAACACACTGATAATATCATTTTAAAAGAAATAAACAAATGATATGTTACTATCCCCAATGAAAGATCTTGAATTAGGGCTAGCAGAAGCAAAAGCTTTGCTTGAAAGGAGGGGAAGAAGGATGAAACTTTTATAAAAAACAATAAAACAACAACAACAAAAAAGCAAAACCACCAATGAATAGACATTTTATAGCTTTGAGCCCCTTACAAGTTTTGAGCTGTGTTTCTCCATGGGTGTGCTAACTGCTGTTGGGGCAAGTGGGTGGCATAAGAACCACGTGCTTCATATGAGGAGACAGAACACAAATGCCAAATGAAGAAGCTCTGACCCCACTGCTCAAGGCTGATGTTTGTAACTTCAGAACACATGTGAAGCTTTGAGTCCAAAAGACAAAGGGGTATTGGCATGTCAACATTCTTATTTATTATGATTCCTGATAATTTGCTGCTATGTTACTAAAATCATACTAAAGACATTTGCACTTACTTCATTGGAGGAGAAAAAGAAATGAAAGTTGAACAGTGAAAGCTGCAAGTGTGCTCCAGTGGGGTCTCCTCATGACTGGTTTCTTGCTCCTCTTCTCAGCCTGTTATTTTGCTTATTTATCAGTTTCTGAACCAACATCAGGGGAGCCACGATGAGTGTGAAGAAACCATTTCTCTCCACAATACTGGCACTTTGGGTCTGAATGATGAACTGTGGGAGCATGTAGTGCTCTGTGTAGTTTCCCCTTGTGCAAGCGGACACATACTTATTTTGAGGGAACACACACTTGATTGTTGATTTGCATCCCCATTGCATTTGCTTCATTTATTTATTGCTGTTGCCTGTGCTTTCTTAAATATTGATCAGTCTAGCACTTTCCATGTGTCATGGCCTATATGCTCCCAGCTTGTGATAAGTGTGTTTTAATTCCCAACTAGCATATGCAAGAGTCAAAATGGGCTACTGAGTATTACTACTTATTTTTCCTCTCAGGTCTTTTTGGATATGGCTGTGAAGAGGGTGAAGCACACGAGTTCTCAGTGGGAACTCTACCAAATGGATTGCAAGAGAACTACTAAATTGATTCTAAATCTATTCCATTCTCTGTGGGATGCAAAGTGTCCAGTTTTAATGTCTAAGCATGCACTTTCATACTAGCAATCATAGCACAGAAGGAGAGAGTTAAATTTTATATAGCCAATTTAAACATTGGGCATCTTTGTATTAGAATTTAACGACACATTTATTCTTTTAGCCAGGATGTCTGTCTTTTCTGTGAGAATGAATTAAGCTATGTTTTAGGTCCCCACTGTATGATCTGTGTAAAATTTATCCCACTTGTCCCCTTACTTTTACCTTTTTTCTTCCCTTTTCATTGAATCTTTCTCATCCTTTTCAATCTCATTGTCATTGGATCTTGATGTATGAAGTATGTGTGCTCTTGACTGCAAATAACAGTGAAGGACTGAATAAGAAACCTGGGAGATACACACCCCAGGATTGTCTGCATCATTTCACCAAGGATCAAACTCCTTTGGTAGTTTCCACTACCTTATCCTCTCTCCTTTGGTTTATTGCCTCATAGTTGCAAGATGGTTGCTGAACCATCAGGTATCATGTCTGTTTTCTAAGTGGGAAGAGGGAAGAAGAGGCAAGTAACAAGGTGCAATGTCTATATCCAGAAAGCAAAGCTTTCTGTAACTTGGCTCCCCCTAGTGCATGAGAGTCTGGGAAGGAAAATTTTAGCTAGGCACATTACTCTGTGAATGAAATTTAGAGTCTCTCTCTTTTGTTGTTTTATTTTATTTTTTGCTGTGTGAGGGGTGGAACCCAGGACCTCATGCATGCTAAGCAAGTGCTCTACCTGAGCCACATTCCCAACCCTAGAGTCTCTTAATGAGGAAGGGGGATAAGGTTTTGGAGGGGGATTGTCTCTGCCACAGTTTCCTCATATCCCTATCATTGCCCTTCAATGTCTTTTTTACTCTCTCATTCTTGACAAACTCTTGCAAACATTCTTCGAACCTTCTTGCTTCCTACTCCTTTTCTTAGATTTGACCTAGAATTCCTAACCAGAATCCATCATTTCTTAGCCCCAGTAAGAATTTTTATTTTGGATAAAAACCTAGCTACAAGTGGGTTTCTATGAAACGTTTTATTGTTATAAGAAAATACATCTTCTGTGGATTAAAATTTTCAAGTCACATCATGCTGACAACTATGGAAAATTTGTTTCTGCAATTAATGCCCCCTCTCCAAAATAATGTCTAATAGCCACTTCAGTGTGGAAATATCCAGTTAATAGCAGAGAATTTAGACTGTGGTCTTAGAATGAAATGCATTGTCTCATCCACAGCATGTAAATATTAAGAACAGATCTTAATCTTGGTGTTGTTACTGGGATTTCCACGGAACATTTGCAAGTGAAGCTGGCTTCTCCTGACTTCAGATCCTGAATTCTTAAAGATTGCTTCATGTAGTCCCCTTTTATTCTCTTGTGGTATCACTCAGAGACAACCTGTAATAGGAAAGAGGATTAGTCACAGCCCAGCCCTATATAATCCAGAAGGCCCTTGTAGCTGAAACAGGTAGCTTCAAAAAGAACATGAATCAGTGGAAAGAGAGCCAAAGGTCAGTGAGACCACAGAATTGCCTTCCAACCCAGCTGAGGCTGTGGAGGGACTGAGGGCATGGTTTAGATTGGGCCAAGGTTATCAAGAGGAAACTTGAGAGTTGTTTCCTTCTCCCAGTGCTTAGCACAGAGATGTTGGTGACTCATGGAAACTATTGGAAGAGTTATTGACTGAAATAACCAAGGCTTCTTTTCCTTTACAAGTTGACCCTCCAATCTGTTGTGGGGTTCAGACTCCTCAACAGAATGTCAGGGTCAGACAGGCAGGTTAAGGTCAAGGGTGGGGAGTGTAGTGGGGTTGATAACAAATGACCTTTCTCCCAGGGAGCCCACCTCAGCCATGTGGTCCATTTGCCCACTGGCCAAGGTTTCACACAAGCTCTGTGGGGACCATACTGCCCTGCTCTTTGTCACTTTTTCTTAGAAAAGTACTCAGCTAGGGACTCTGAGGGTATTCATGGTATCCCAATGCAGAACTTCAATCTACTTTCTCTAGTTATCTGATGTAGAGAACTGGGACATGAAGTTGAAATGTACATCTTTTAGAATAATATATTTTTTTCTTTTCCAAAACCAAAGGCTTTGGGCATTTGCCGAACTTTCTGGATCAGTTTTTATTGTAAAAATCATAAACACATGATAGAAAAGGAGTTATATAATGAGACACATCACCTACTTCTTGCTCTCCCTTCTGATTACTAAGGGAATGGGTTGTAGGACACCAAAATAAAGGGAATCCCGAAAATGATATGTGAATTTTTTTCTAAGTGTTTTTCAGTGCATCTCTTGGGAATGCTGATGTTCCTGTGGCTTTTAGGGAAAGGTAAATGTGCTAGAAGTAAAGCATCCAATATTAAGTGCTTGCTGTTACATAGACATGCAGTCTCAAGGTTCTCTATTCAGTAATTCCTAAAGGCCTTGTAAAAAAGAAGACTTGTAAATATACATTTTGAGCCCTAATAAGTCACAGACACCAAAAATTTTAGGCCAGTTTGTTTCACTTAGGTGAGAACTGATTACTTTAAATTATTAACATGTGCAAATTCTGCTTGGAATTCATCATCAGGTGCTGAGCTGGAAAAGACGAGAAACTCAAGGAAGAGAACTATTGAATTTCCATGTAACTGTAATATTATGCTTTCATTTTAATTTTGTGTATTATCAAACTGGGCTTTTAACCTTTGAAATGATTTGCACGAAGAGGGAGCCTGTATATCTGACCTAGGAAACATTAACCAGATCCCATTTTCACTGGTGCAGAAATAACTATTTATTTGCCGTCCTTAGGTGTTCTGGGAATGAGCCTATGTGTGACTTTTATGAGATATATTCACATTTGGTGTCGGAACAACCACATGGCAACATGTTGGCTCTTTTTTATTGTACCACTCTGCATAAATGTTGGCACCTTATTACAAATTAAATGTTTGAACTCTATTTTTAAAAATAAAACAAGCACAGAGTCCTCAAAAAAATTGTTGTAAATGAAGAGATACTGATTTCATAGCATGTTTCTGCCCAAAAGATCCTCTTGAAACCTGGTCCTGCTGACCAAGCGTCCAGCAGAGTTAAAGACACATCCTTAAGATTGTCAACAGATTGTGACATCAATTTGGTTGGCTTTACAATCCCTTGCTCTTGGCTGCATGGGCAAGGAGCAAATAAAAATTCAGACTGGCGCCAGGCACAGAGACGGGTGCCTGTAATCCCAACTACTTGGGAGGTGGAAGCAAGAATATTATAAGTTCAAGGCCAGCCTGGGCAACTTTGTAAAACCTAGTCTCAAAACAACAACAAAATAACTCAGACTGTGGCTTTAAATTTCTAAGGGTGGAATAGGACCCTTGTCCTTAGATCATTTTTGTGTCTTCTCTTTGTTGGAGGCTGGGGAGTACAACTGAGTGTAACATTCATTCATTCTTTCACCCTTGAAACAGAACTTTTTCTATTGATTACCTTGAGGATTACAAGGATTTGAATTATGTCCTTCCCCACTAGTTTTTTATTTAGAAAACTTTAAGGAAGATTAGAAAAAGAAAAAGAAAGGAAAGAAAGAAGGAAGGAAGGAAAAAAGGAAGACTACATACCCTTGACTTTGCCTTGCAGTTACAGAAGTCTCCTGTGATAAGGGAGGGAACAAGCTGTGGGGACAGCTGGGTGAAGGATAGCCTCAGCAGAAGGGACAGCACTTGTGAATAAACTGAGATGCAAATGGGCCTATCCTTCTGGGCCCTACTAGGGGTGAATGGCTACAAGATATGTGGGGGCTCTGGAAGGGAATGGGTGGATTTTAATTTGGTTTTGTTTTCCCTTTGGGAGGAGGGTAGACATAAGCAGATGCCTTAGGATCTTGAAGAGCCACATGAAGATCTGGACTCACAAGCCTTTCTGGCAGTTGGACAGTAAGTCTGGAATCCAGAAGTCTTGTAAGGAGGCTGTTGCAGAAGATGAGCAATAGGGAGATTGCTCCAGAGAAGTTCTTGAATTCTGCACATATTTCTAAGGAAGAACCAACAGATTTGCTGGTGGATTGGAGGTAAAGTGGTACAGCCAAATTGACATTTACTGATATGGGCTAGGTGAAGTAAGGAGCTCCATCTTGGACATGCTGCATGAGGGATATCCAACAGACATCTGTCCCCAGAGTTCAGGGGGATCAATAGTGTTGGAAGGAGAAACCAAACCATTGACATATCGGTTGCATTAAAAGCCATGCCTAGAAACTTCTTAGGTCTAATGATATCCTAACAGCAAACAAAACCAACATTCGAATGGAATTTCAATATTGAGTTTTCAGGGAATCTCACCAACGTTAGATGACAGCAATGTTGCATTTGAGTTACAGCTCTGTTGAGTTTTGATTGTTTGACATTGTCAAGGCATTGAACCTCTCTGAGCCTGGGTTTCCCCATTTCTGTGGAGCGGGCTACTGCTCTTGACCCCAGCATGGATGTAAGAATTAAACTAGATAATCACTGTAAAGTACTTGGCATGGAATATGACCATGCAAATGGTAGCTATTATCATTTTCTCCCACTATGAAGCCCTCTCATTACCTTTAATTAGAAATTAAGTTTGTGTTGTTAAAGGACATATAAAAATTTAGTTTAATTATAAGAGCCCCAAAATAATCAGATTGGGTTTGCTAATGCCTCTCTTAACTCCTGCAGTCATTTTTCCAAAACACAAACAAAACAAAATGAATAACACACACACACACACACACACACACACACACCCCTCAGATCTCAAGGGTTGTGAAAAAAGTTTGCCAACTCCAAATTAATGGAAAGTTATAGAAACAATTTGGAGGAAAATTCCATTTTTTTCTGTAGTTTCATATTGTCCTGGAGAGAAGAAAAGAATAAACAAGTATGAACACTGCACTAGCCATTGATTAATTTAAAATTTGGAGCAAGAGTTCATGAAACACAAGAATGTATGTAACTTGCTCGTTTTTTAGACAGCATAAAACTCAATACTCACCCACTACACTTTCAGACAAACAACAACAAAAAAATCTCTCCAGCATGGTGTTTATGTGGAAATGAGTCTGTTAGTAAAGCTCATGGAAAAACAGCCTTTTGTGAGCGTTGTGTATTTCCCTTTAACATGATATAGCTATATCCCAAAGGGGGATGATGATCAAACAGGATTTGTCCCCAAAGTGACAACCCATCAGTCTTAATTCTTGGGGGCTTAGCTAAAGCTAACCAGAATGGCCTTGCAAATAAGTCTGGGGCATGCGCGGGCTTCCTGGGCTTTCATGGGTTGATGCAGGACCAGGAACTTCCATCTCTGCCCCGGGGCTGTGTGTGCGCGGGATGTGCACAGGCGCCTGGTGTGCTGTGATTACAGCTCTTCCTCAGTTCATTGGTAGTTAATTGGCTAGAAAGAAGCTACCATATGTGAAAGCAGATAGGGAGCATCTATTTTTGGCAGTTCTTCCACATCGCATTTCGTTAAAGAAATGGTTTTTTCTTTCCGAATGAGCAATAAGCAAAGAGCACCTTGTGGGGATTTCCAAACCCCTTTAGTCAGGGTTTGGCTCACAGAACGAAGGGAGCAATTTATATGTGATTCCAGTGTTTGTTATGGAACACATATTTCAAAGATTAAACAGCCATCCTCAATCCAAACAGATTCTGTCAGAGA